TGAAGGGAACCCTAAAAGCATCAGCATACCAAGATATTTTGGACCATTTCAAGCTTCCAACTTTGTGGTAACAGTTTGGGATGGCCCCTTTCTGTTCCAACAAGGCTACGCACCAGTGCACGAAGCAAGGTCCATAAAGACATGGATGGGAGAGTTTGGAGTGGAGGAACTTGACTGGCCTGCACAGAATCCTGACCTCAATCCGACAGAACACATTTGGGATGAATTAGAGCAGAGACTGTGAGCCAGGCCTTTTCATCCAACATCAGTGCCTCACCTCACATATGCGCTTCTGGAAGAATGGTCAAACATTCCCATAGACATCATCCTAAGTTTTGCGGACAGCTTTCCCAGAACAGTTGAAGCTGTTATAGCAGCAAAGGGTGGGCCACCTCAATATTGAACCCTACAGGCTAAGGCTGGGATGCCATTAAAGTGCATGTGCATGTAAAAGCAGGCATCCCAACACTTTTGGCAATATATAGTGTACCTCTAGGCAACCATGCATTTACAGGTAGGGGAAAACAAACACACACAAACACCAAAAGGCACATTCTGAGAGGATCTTTTGTGCAGAAAAACAAAATAACAAAAACCCATGTAAACGCATGTAAGTGCCTGCATAGATGTGTAAATGTATTCCAAAGGCCAGAATACATTAATATTCTGGCCAGTAGAATGCATTTATGCTCAAAGGCCATAGGTACATAAACATACATATTGTGATATTAGAGGTGTTTTTCTGCATGAGGCTTAAGGATTTTGTTTGATGCTGTTCCATCAGTCCCAGCTAAAAAGCGTTACAGAATTGATATACAATTGATCTAAAATAATGTAACCATTGTTTGTTTTAGGGAAGAGGAGATGGGAATAGTACAAAATTGGTTTTAGCAATTATACAATGTGAAAGTAGCAACGTATGAGGATTATGTCATTGAGACTACCCCATATTTTCTCTGTTTGTGTAGAATGATGAGAATTTGTTCCATTGCTATTTAGTTAGCTTTGAAAAAACCTGAAGATTTTTGAAGCAGCAGATACTCCTGGAATGTTGAAGTCCTTGTATGGATATAATATTTGAGCCGTTAGTCTAAGCAGTTCCAAGCTCTCATAATGACTGCACCAGACTGAAGCAATAAAACATATTTTATATTTGCAACACAGTATATGAAATTAGTTCAGTGTGTGTAAGTTAAGTGTAGTATAAAAAAAGAATAAACTATTTTATTTCCACAAGTAAGTCACAAGAAACCGCAAGGAGAGCACTCATCTAGCTACAAGCACTACTGTCTGGTTCCAGTCTGATTCTGCTGACTGTAGACCCCTCAGAAGCTGTCCTGGGCTGTTCTGGTGGCTCTCAGCACTTCCTGGTTGGCTTGGGTCCACCGGTGGGTGGAAATGACTTCACAACAGGAAGCGGTGGGCATGGCACGCGTTCAGGCCATGATGATAGAGCATGTATGCTCTGAACATGTGCCACACCCACCACTTGCTCTTGTGACATCTCCGCCGCCCGGTGGACCCAAGCCAACCAGGAAGTGCTGAAAGCAGAGTTATTATTTTTATACTACATGTAACTTACACACACTGAACTAATTTCATAATATAGTGTTTCAAATATGAAATAAAACAACTTGTTTTATTGCTGCAGTCTGGTGCAGTCATTCTGAGAGCTTGTAAACTGCTTAGAACTTTCTGAAGGATCTACAGTCATTAAGGATCTTTATGCTACACTTAGATGGCGCAGTTTCCCTTCTTCAATTTCCAGTCATACAGAGTATCTTCTAGCTCTTGATGAATCAATTGCCACTGAGTCAAGCTTTTTGTGAACTTTTTGATTAATTGGACTTTAAAAGAGAAGTATGGGAAACATTTTTTTTTGTAAATCATACTTGCATCTGTCTCCCACTGGCTCTATGGATGAGAGCTCAATGATCACATGACCACTGAGCTCTTACTGCAGCTGTGTGCAGAGATCAATGACTGTCAGTCACCGTTCTCTGCTCAGCCCAGCCGCACTCACTGGAGGGCTGAGGAGGGGAGGGAGTGGCTGGCTCAAGCTCTCAGTAGCTCACTGAGAGGCAGAGCCAGGTGCCACTCCAGAGTCTGGGGTGGATCCTGACTATGACTACAGTAAATGGTCATGATTCTTCCCCAGCCTGGACTGGCTCTGTTAAGTCAGCCAACTGTGGGCTTCAGCCCGCTGTCAGCTGAAAATGGGTCACAGGAGTGCAGAATGTACTGCATTTTTGTGAACCAAAGGAGAAGTACAGCTAAACGAGCTTTGGCTGTACTTCTCCTTTAAGGACTTTTAATTATACCTGCCTTTATTCTTTGTATACTTGGGTGGCTCCATCTCAGCAGGCCAAAACAACCTATTTGTTTTTTGCTTTGAAATTAGGTCTTTATTTATTTATTTTTTTTAACAGCCTGTATTAATTAAATGATTCAAGGCAAAGTTGCAGATTTTTATTTAAATGCCAACAGGAATAGAAATATACCTTGCTTAGCTTGTGGAATGTATACAGCGTAGAGTGGACTGACATGCCGATATTTTGGATCATGTATTGTGACATCAAAAGGAATTTTACTGAACACTTCAATATCTGGCCACAGTTCATAGTCTGTTGTTGGCTCCTCATGTCCTTCAACTTCAAAAGAAAAAAAAAAACAGAAAAATATATTTATGCATAAAGGATGCCAACTGATAACACAATTAGGCATTATTACTTAGCAGACTAATGCAATAAGGTGTCATGGTAGAACATTGAAAGCAACCTATAATGCAGCCATATCTGTCACATGGGGAAAACCACTGTTTAAGACCCCTGAGTAGTAAAATTCCCTTTCATCATAAATTGGATCATGACTTATATGCCACCAATGTTCTTTCCTAGGGACTATATCACACCAAGCTAAAATGATTGTGAACCAACACTTGCTTGTCTGCCTAGATAGTACACACTTTCCTTTGCACATTTTTTCCTTTTTCAATAAGATTAACCACTTCCAGACCGGACACTTTTACCCCCTTCCTGACCAAAGGCAATTTTCAGCTTTTAGCGTTATCACACTTTGAATGACAATTGCGCGGTCATGCAACACTGTACCCAAATGAATTTTTTACCATTTTTTTGAGACAGATAAAGCTTTATTTTGGTGGTATTTCTTCACCACTGGGATTTGTATTTTTTTTTGCTATGTAATGAGATGTCCAAAAATTTTGAAAAAGTGTTTTTTTTTTTTTTTTATAAAATTTTGCACATAAATAATATTTCATCATAAATCTTAGCCAAAATTTATTCCGTTATCTTTTTAGTAAAAAAAAAATCCAAATTAGTTTATAAGCAAAAAATATAATTTTTAAACATTTTTTTTTTACATTTTTATTTTATTTTTTTATATTATTTTTTTTTTATTTTTTTTTACATACTGTCACCCTAGCAGTACAGTGTCACCATGGTGACACTTGTGGGGGGTGATGAAGATTTTTTTTTTTTTTTTTTTTACACTGATTGCTTTTACACCCATATAGGATGTAAAAGCAATCATTTCTCTTTCTCTCTGTGTGCATTCTTGCACTCATTGAGAAGTACTGAGTGAGCTGTGATTGGTCACAGCTTGTCACATGGTACAAGGCTTTTGTGAATAGCCTTGTACCATGTGACCTCTGTGATCATTCACAGATTTCACACGTAGTAAGCAATGATGTCAGAAGTGACATCTTGCTTACTACTTTGCATGTGATCACTGATTGGCCAATCAGTGATCACATGATCGGGACCTCATACAGAGGTCCTGTCCGACGATCGGTGTTTCACTGTGTCCGGAGGACACAGCGGGCACCGGATCGCGGTGCTGCGCGCGCTCCCAGGGAGTGCGCACAAGCAGGGTGCGGGGAGGCCGTTTATAGATGGCCACCCAACCCTGCAGTGCAGTGCCACCGTCCGGCCGTTTATATACAGCGGCCGGACGGGAGGTGGTTAAAACAGTTTGTTTCCAGGAATCAACTTTTTTTTCTTTTTTAAAAGGTGTGATCAATAGTAAATGTTCAAACAGTGACTGTCAAAATATGGAAGCTGCCCTTTCAACTTGTTTATAGGCAACAGCTCTGGGGCTGATAACCTTATTCCACCTTTTCTTAGCAAGTCACTGGCCCAAAATATGCATGCAGCTAGTGAAGTGTCCAGCTATCTAATACACATACTTATCCCTGGTCAGTTGCTCACACTGTATTGAAGTAAAGATACAATTAAAAGCCCCAAAGCTTTCACAATCAACAAGTCAACATTGGCAGCTCCAATATTTCTATGCTGACAGGTAACCTTTAAAAGTATAGGATTTACTTTTTTTTTTAATGTAATCATAGTTACCTAAGTGGATGCAGCATCAGTCCGATGCTGCAATTGTCCCCCGCTGGCTCTAAGGCTGAGAACTAAGCGATTAGACACCCGCTGATCGCTCAGTTATCCCTGCCACTCTGAGCAGAGAGAGGTGACAATTAGGTACCGCTCTCTGCTCCCCTCCAGCACTAACTGGAGCCCTGGGCTATGGAGGGGCAGGAGTGGCTGGCTCAAGCTCTCAGCAGCTCATTGAGAGGCAGAGCCAGGTGCTGGTCCAGGGATTTGGGTGGATCACGACCATATGGTTGGGATCTTTCCCCAGCCTGGGCGGACTCTGACGCTTGCTGTACGCTGAAAAGGAGTATGAACTGGACTCTTGTGATCCACTGAAGAAGTAGAGCCAAACAAGCGGTTATTAAAACTTGCTTTCTTTTGAACTGTACAAAAAAAGTACAAAAAATGGCCACTGCCCCAGTCTATAACTGGCTTTTGCAGCAAGGACAAATGAACAGGCAACGCATGTCAAAAGAAGTTTTCTTTTAAACTACCAGTGTAGCATGTTCAGCAATATATTTACACTGTACATATGACCCAATATTGTGTACATACTGTATACCAACATATAACCAGGCGGATACTTAGTGGATCCTTTGTATTTTAATTACAAAGACGCTTACCTTTGTTGATTTCTTCCTCATCATAGACATCTACCTCTAAAAGCCTAATCAGCATACGATATAGTATTCTAAGAAACTGCAGGTAAGCACCAGTCTTCCCTACCTTTAAAATAAAGGACATGTTAGCATAAATACAATACCATATATTACAATACCATATATTTACTGAAAAAAAAATTCAAATGGAAACTAGTTCAGAATTAAAAGCATACAACCCAAAACTATCCTTTCATAGCAAGAAAACATTCAAACTGGAATGATTCTCAAAGAAATCAAATTACAAATGACATCTCCTTAAAACACCAAAGAAAATATATAAAAAAAAAGCTTTGCATTCAACAAGTGACATTATCTTAAACAAAACTCCAGGCAAACAGCTAAACACACAGTTGAAATACACTCTTATAAACTGTCATATCTATTAAAGGTCCAGACACCTCTATCAGACAGCCAGAGCCTTCTTAGTACCTTGTTCTGCCCCCTCCCCTAGCCTGACCACTGCTGTTCAGGCGATCACCAGAATCTGATATCAAGACTGATTTAGTTCAAGCTGCATGCATAAATACATGTATTTTAAAAGATAAATGTCAGGCACATAAAAACCATTAATAAATACGGTTATGTATTCATATTACTAAAGGTACTTTCACATGCACAAAGTATTCGAAATTGGTGTCAGCCTCTTGTAGCACTCTGTACAGAAGACCATAGACTGGACAGCGAGGGGTAGCATTAGGAGCCAACCTGGTGTGCTGCATATACATGGACTTAACAGGAGCATGCCGACAGGATGAGAAAGCAGAAAGATGAGCTCATCATTCTACTGCTGTTTCTTCACTGTCCAGGCACAGTCTGAAAGAAGGCAGCAGTGTTCATCTTGACGTCAAATGTTGGTTTTGTTTTAGTCAGTCATAGTCTGATTAAAATGTCATTTTAGTTTTAGATGTATTTTAATCATCTGAATTGTTTTAGTTTTAGTCGTATTTTAGTTGACTAAAATCTCCTACATTTTAGTCTTCTAAAATCTAATGGCTTTAGGTAAATTGTAATGCATTATTTAAGCATTTCTCTAGAATTTCCAAACTCATTAAATACTCCTGGAGTAAAAATCTAACATCATTTATGGTATTAAAGTTTGAACAGGTTTGCACTACAGACACAGATTTAGGCTGCAAGTGGGGATTGGGAAGTAACTGGGAGTGAGGGAGTGCACAGGGCAGAGAACTGGAGGCTGTGATGCACAATCCTAAACACACCACTAAGCACTGCTACTTTGCTAGGAGGGGAAACACTCATGTGGTTGGCAGGCTTTACAGGTGGAGCTCTGAGAAAAGCGGACGTTCATGCAGGTAAAAATCCCTCTCACACATTTTCATTTCAAATTGATTTGCGTCACAGTTTTCATCAGTTGAGGAAAATTTGAATTGATTTAATTTAGTTTTAGTCACTGAAAACATGCAGCTGACGAAAACTATGACGAAAAGATTTTGATCAATGAAATTAACACTGGAAGGCAGGCCACCTAACTGTATTGCTCTAAATGCAACAAGTCTGGCCACAAATCTCAGAGCTGGGTGGACAGTAACCCCTTGGCGCCTGCGCTTCCCGGCCCTTTTAAAGGGTTTCAGAAGCCAGGAGGCAGGCGGGGTTTTAGGGTCATGTGACCGCCATGATTCGCGGTCACATGAACGGGAAAGGTCCCGACCACAAAAGGAGATTGAGACCTTTCCATGAGTACCGGACATGTGTGTTGGGTGCGCGCAAATGTTCGGTTTTTTTAATCGCACGCAGTTCAGCGTCAAGGCCCTCGGAGTGAAGAGGTTAATAAAATAATTTGGCACAGTCCACAGTGAAATGCAGTCATTACATTCTTAATTCTGAGGGCTCTTGTGAAAACAATGCAAGAATTCTATTCTACCTATACCCCTGTACAAAACTGGTCTACAATTTTTGACATGCTAGTAATATATTTATTGTATGCTGAGGAACCATATTTTAAATGCTTCATATTGTGAGAAAACAAAGAATTAACATTTGGCTGGTAAAATAGATCCTATAAATATAAGGATGTATTTACCGGTTTGCCTGGAGATGAGCTTTTAAAAGATTGATAAAAATGAGTACAACACTGCATTGTGCTATGTTTTTACTTTTGCCTGGTGTTCAGCTATAAGAAGATATAGATGACTATTTTTAAGTATCAAGCATGTGTTGGAAATGTGACAATAGGATATTGCATAACAGGGATGAATATGCTAGATAATCCCAAAGCAGAACATAGCTGCTTCTTCCTATACTCACAGATCAGTTTATGAACTTCCCACCTCATTCAGAAGCTGTTTGGGAATACAAACTGCAAGCAGTGTTTATTACATTCATTTCTCAGCAACCAGCCAGCAAATTTGTCTACCGGTTACCAAAGCTATCTTATACGCTGCTTCATTGGTTTGCTAAAGAGCAAGAAACATATGTCAGGAAGGAAGAAACAAGCATGAACACATGCCACCAGCAGTATCCTTAATTGGGATAGCATGGATTCATACTGACCCATTACAGTAAATCCAGCCATGGTTATAAGCCATAAAAATGAATACCAAATATATTTTAGTGTACTATATACTGTATTTAACATTTTCTTTTGGAAGTCAGCCTGCACAAATCCAAGCACTGCTCTCATTCTCACAATCAATCATTAAACATGCATCACTGAAATCATTATTTCTATAGCCAAACTGCATCTGCCCCATTGGTTTTGACTCATTCACCCTACATAAAACATTAACATTATCTATACACAATATCTTGGGGGGGAAAAAAGTGCATTCTCCCTTGAGGTATAGGTGTTAATTCCTCTGTCATGGTTTAAAATAAAAAAATAAATAAAACAGGATTGAACTGAACCCCATCCCAAAAAAATCAGAAGGTTAATGACCTGCGATGGTCCAGTCAGAAGAAGACGGCGTGGATGAACAGTCCTTGCTCCATGGTCACTGGGGTTTACATAGTCCGCATGGTGCTGCCTGGCTGTTGTCCACTGCCGGTAGTAAAGCGATTGCTCATCACTGCTCAAGTCTTTGGATATTGAAGGCCTTAGTGATCTCAACCAGCTCACATCAGCATGGGGTAAGAGCGAAATGGTACAGAGTGCCTGTCCATTTTTATGAGAAGCAAGGAGATTGTAAGTAGCTCTTGAGAGAACCACAATGCGTGGCATTGTTAAACTCAACGTCCTGCTCTTTCTTCCTGATTGATGAGTCCACTGAAGAGTTTGTACAGAAGAGGAGGAGAATTTTGAAGTTGTGCTGCTGGCCATTTGGGCTCCAAGAGAGTCACATTCTTGTTTGATTTCACTGGCTGTAGAATTTGGGTAAGTGACTTCATCCAGAGAGCTGTTTGCTACATTTGGGAAGTCAGGGTTTAATGGCTGCCTCTGTGTGTCTTCACCTGTGCTTGATGAACTGACTCCATTTTCAGCTATGGAACCTGTGCCAAAAGAAAAAAACACTGAACATGAACATAACCCTTTAAATAACAAAATCCCTTTTACTTTAATAACTTTTCAGAAGGCAGTCAGCTACTACAGTGCATTATCTTTGTTATCATTTTAGTAGGTGGTTTTCTTAACTTTATACATCATAGAAATGTTTAATTTTTGTTTTGTGCAAATTCAAATGAAGATTTTCTCAGACAAATCGGAAAATAAACACAAAACATGGAAAAATATTTAAATAAAAAGCCCAAAAGTCCATAACACCACAGAACCAAAACATACCTACAGTATGCTTCACTCAAAAATGTACTAACCTGAAGTTCCAGTGACTTCACTGCCATTACTGTGGTCTCTCGAGGTCAATAAACAGATCATCAGAGTCATTTGCAATGCTGTTAACCTTGTCAACTTCCTTGTCACTGAGGTCCAATGCAGTCATTGGTTCTCGAATGACATCCCTTGATACATAACCGCAAGCCAGGCCTATTTCTTGCTCTAACGCAGTCCTTGTTAGGAAACTTGAGTCGATAAGTCGGAGGTCACAGTACTTCAAGGATCTAGAAAGCAGAAGGGGTTTCTTATCAACATGGTGGTTACAGAAAATGCATAGAGGCTTTCTACACCTCTTACTCTATAGTCTATGAGAGTTAAATCACACTGTATTGGTGAAAAAAGTAAAGCAGGAACTATTTTTTAAATTGTGCTACTTGAAAAAACACTTATTAAGACGGTACCATAGAAATACATTAGATGAAACTTGAGGTGCAATTTGTAAAATCGGACGTTGCGCCTGAAAGTCGCAGTGGTGTGAACCATGGCTTAAGGTCAGGACTAAAAATAAAATAAAAACAAAGCATTTTAATTTGTTTTTAGCCAGGTAAATATTATACAGTCTTCTATCCAGCTAGCAGGTGGAGCTCTAGTGTCCTTTTAACATAAGCATTATTTTGTGCTGTGTGAAGTCCTTTTTTTATGAACTCAAGCTATCAAACCAGTCTGTCCTCAGACATCGGAAGTTTCCATCAAATTAATGGGAGCTGCAAAGCAAAGTGATCTGCTCTGTGGTCTCTAGTTAATCCATAATGCTCCGAGAGTATTCTGTAATGCATCAAATGGTTATGTTGGTAAAATAAAGATTGCATATAGACAGTTAAACAGAAAACAAGAGCTTGACGTCTTGTGAATTTAAAAAAATTTAATTAATTAAAAGAAAATTCAATTTCAAGTGTAACTTTATTTTGCCAACCTAAAAATCTCCCCTCCTTTTTCCCACATGCATTTCCTGAGTGGGATGGGCATCTTTAATTGTTTTGAGTCAGGTATATATAAAATATATGTCATGTCAGAGGGCAGCCAGCCATTACAATGCATTATTTAAGATGTCAGCTAAGTGTAGGTTGTCTTGTGCCTTTACCAGGCACAAAAAAAAAAAAAAAAAAAAAAAAAAAAAAAAAAAATCACAGTTGGATGTAGATTGAACTAGAAAGGTTTTACATTTTTTCAACATCTTCCTACCAATCTTGTACATCAAATTTTAACAATCACAGCGGTACATTAACCCTTTAACAAAAGAAAAATGGGGACTGCAATCAATGATCTTCTGGTTTCAATATTTTTGAGTCAGAGACCTGGAAATAGCATGCAAATCAGAATTCAGGGTGAAGTGAAAGGTTCTTATCTGCATACAATTGAAGCCAGGGAAGAAGCATGACAGTGAGGAAAATAGCTTTTGCAAATGTGGATTCAGTAAGGAAGTGTTTCCCTTCAAGCATGAGTAGAATTAAATAACCAAAGCACCTAGGAAAGGTTTCTCCAAGGGGGTCCTTGCCGGTAAGAACTACAATACAAGGTAGGCCTTCAAGGTCTTTGAATGTTCTAGGAACCCAGTCTTCTTGTTCACATCCACTCCATATCTTCAAAGAAAACACATGGAAGAGTCAGTTTTTAAAAAGCACAACATAGGGGTTGATTTACTACAACTGGAGCAGCAAAATCTGGTGCAGCCGTGCAATTTAGCCAGCTTCTAACTTCAGCTTGTTAAATTAAGCTTTGACAAAACAACCAACACAACAACCACCTGATAAGCCTGGATAGCTGATTGGTTGCTATGCAGCGCTGCACCAGATTTGTGAAAAGCTAGTATTACACATGCTCACAGTGCTAATGTCATGTGACAGAAACATCAAAGGACTGGTTTTAGCAAAAACGTTTTTTTGTTCAGTTTTTTTAAGTGCTGTAAACTTGGGTCCAAGTGACTTGATAACTTATCAGTGAAGGACTAATGGAAAGGTGTGAGAAACAATAGGCCACTTCCCAACATTTCTATATATGTTGAAACTACAAAATTTAAAGACCCCCAGGATTCAGGACAGCTGGACCCACATTTTATTGCTCAACTCAGTTTAGTGAGCCATTTGTGTCAGATTTCTGGGAATTTACTAAGCTTCTTGTGCCATGGGAATTGCTCAGGAAACTCATTAACAGAGCAGACAGACCTATTTCTGGTCTATCTGCACCACATGGCCCAGTTTCTATTTCTCTCTATTATGTTTGCTGTCTGCCACGGCACAGACAGATCGATCCTAACAAAGGGGCTTGCGCCCCTTTTGTAAATTAGAAGCAGCATTTGCTCCATGTTCTAAATCTAGAAGAGTTGTGCAAGCTTGTGCTTGCACAACTCTTTGTTTCATACCCCTATTTATGAGTTTGTTTTTTTTCTTAAAAATAAAGAAAAGAAAAAAATAACAATTTATATTATATAATTTAAGCATGCATTCCAAAATTTGTTCTCCTTTTCAGACCCATGCAAAATCTGGCTGGACTTATGGTTGAACAGAAAACAGTCACTCATAACCTTGCTCCCAGCTCTGTCTGAAAAAGTGAGGAGATGCTGGTTGGGAAAAACAGAGCTTTGGGTAAAATGGTCTCTGACCACAGTAAAAAAATCAGAATGTTTTGAATATGATCTGAGAATCTCTCTTACCTTTAATCTAGTGACAAAATGCTTGGCAACAGATAATTCAGAAGCAGGATTACCAAGGAGCACTTCAAAGCGATACTGCAACCCCAGTTTGTCTCTCACTTCCTGCAGTCGCTCCTTTGCCAACATTGCAAGCTGTACAGAAGGTACCCGGATGATTAGCATGTGTCCCTGGCCACTTTTGTCTTTCACCGGGAAGCTAAGCAGGTCATCCACAATGCTCAGAGTCTCTGGTGTGGTGTGGTCTCGGAGCGAAGTCACAGTGGTTAAAGCAATAAGAGCCTCAGAATACTGCTGAATAAGAAGGTAGCAGCGAATTACCATGCTGTGAAGCCTTGGGTACCTGAAAGGAAAGGAGGATGGTCATTTCACAGAATGATGTGTCAAGATTGCAGTAAAAGAATGTATGACATTGAAAAGGGGAAATTAATCTTGGAAAACAAACTTCACCTTTCCAGAAGTGTGTTGACCATTTTTTCAAATGTTTCATCACATCTCAATAAAGGACTTGTAATACCCCACTGTAGAGATTTGCTGTACTCATTAATACCAAAATAAATCATTTCCTCTCCAGTTACACCCTCCTAGGTTACAAAAAAACAAAACAAAAATAAATTAAAAAAACAAACACACAATTCATTAAAAGTTTAAAAGCCAAAAGTATAAATACAGTAAAAAGACTTTCCCACTAGTATTCCACGTTTCCCGCTTCATTTTCACCTTGCTCATGTAACCAATGTCATAAATATTATAAAACTGCCTTTTTCAGATTTTAATTAGTAATTATAACAATTACTGGGAAAAAAATAAAGTAAAGTCAAATAAATAAACTATATGTATTGATTATACACGTACATCGTTTTTTTTTTTTTGTTTAAATGAAAGGATATATGATATAAAATTCCTTACCACCATGTCAGGCTGAATCCAGTGCACCTCATTGCTAGGGCTGATTTTGGACTGCTGCGTCTGTAAAGCATATGGAAATGCACTAACTTGAAGCACTATGAGATTTAAGGCTTCCTGTACTTCATGACTATTGACAATCCGGTCAGAAAGGCCCTGAGCGGAATCTCCATGAGACAATGTTCCTGACATGGCACTAGAAAAGAAAACACGAAGTCAGAATACACATTTTACAGATTTGATGGGGCAGAAAACCACTATCAGAAACAATTGTAAATTTCAAAATGGGACTTCAACTGATATTTTTTTTTTCTCAGGGATGTAGGAGTACAATCTTAAATTGTGTACCTAAATGTCCTAACTGCTACAGTCTTCCTAAAACCAAATCTGCTCTTAACACTTAACCCTACCCTGACCAAAATAAAAAAAAAAAAAAAAAAAAAAAAAATTTAACCCAACCTAAAAAATTACACCTTAATATTTAAGGCTTTTTTTTTTTTTTTTTTTTTTTTTTTTTTTTAAATACAGCCCCATCACGTTCTTACAATTAAAATGATCAGGCTGCAATTGTCTTTCTATTGAGGGCTGTCCTTTGAAGTCAAACAACAAAAGAGAAAAGTTCCCAGCTCAACTTGCCGACCAGCCTGCAAACAAACTGAATGAACCTGTGTAACAATATCCGTTAAAAACAGGGGTTTAGTTAGCACACATTTGCAAATACATGCATAAGCTACAGAGCTTCGTTACGGCACCCCGATATTCTGTAGTTCCTAACACTACAAATTTTGAGAGCCCCCATAGTAGAGGCACATGTATTTAATGGATAGACCAAGGGCAGGTGGACCCGAGGGAGCCCACCCCTCCTTAAAAAGATACAAGTACAGGAGTGCACTGGACACCCAGCATGTAGCACAATGGCAGCTAGGGTGTCCAGTGCGCCCCCTCACCAACAATTCAACAATACAAGAAAAGCCTGCTGCCCCAGTCTAACTGGCCTTCACAGCAAGGAGCACATGGAAGGGCAACACATGTCAAACAACAAAAAAGAGAAAAATTTCCAGCTTATCTTGCCAACCAACCTGCAAACAAACCAAACTAACCTGTTTAACAGTAGGTGTTAAAAACAGGGGTGTAGTTAACACACATTTGCAAATACATGTGTAAGCTACAGAGCCTCGTCACAGCACTCCAATATTCTGTAGTTCCTAACTCTACTCCCTCAGGTCCACCTGCCCTTGGTCTATCCATTAAATACATGTGCCTCTACTATGGGGGGGGGGGGGGGGGGGGGGGGGGGGAGTCTCAAAATTTGTAGAGTTAGTAACTACAGAATATCGGGGTGCCGTGACGAGGCTCTATAGCTTGCGAATGTATTTGAAAAGTGTGTGCCAACTAAACATGTTTTTAATGCATACTGTTAGGTTAATTTGGTTTGCAAGTTGAGCTGGGAATTTTTCTCTTTTGTTTGACATGCATCACCTTTCCATGTGCTCCTTGCTGTGAAGGCCAGTTATAGACTGGGGCATCAGCCATTTCTTGTACTGTCCTTTGAAGTGCCTCTTATTCACCACAGGATGCCCTCAGTTTTTCCTAAATAAATAGATGCCCAGAGTCTTTCAACCTAGAAGTCTGAGGAATCTAATAAAGGGCATCATGGGTCTATTACCTTGAAAAGTAGTCACCACTGAATCTTTAATTCACTCTGTAAGGGGGCAGAGAGTGGCACTAATGTCAGTGACTCTCTGCATCATTGAAGACCGCTCACCGCCACGAGAAGACCAAAGTGGACCGAGCAACTTATGTGACAGTAATGAAAACTTTGTATACAAGTATATTAGCTTAGGGGCTTTAAATCCCTAATTTTCAAAAAAAATACCAAAACATATGTTATCGTCGAAATGCATTTTGGTAAATTAAAGCTATTCCAAATTTTCCATTTCAATTGGCACCTGCTATTTTTAAAAAATAAACAAAAAAATTAAAAAATTGTCACTGTCTTGCAATGTCAATCTTGGTTATTCCTGTACACACTTTATGTATAGAAATCCCAGCAGCAATCTAATTTCCTGCTTGAGTCGCTGTTTTTGCCTCTTTGGTTTTCCCAGACATCAGCACAAAGTATAAAGTCCAATTACAGGAGCCCCTTGCAATTTTTTTTTTTTTTTTACAACAGAGATCAGGTGGTGTATGAAGGGAGGCCATATCAATAAGCCATCAGGTCGAGAAGGGATAATATAAGACCTAAAATCAAATTATGCAAAATTTGCTTAAATGCTTGCAACGTACTGTATACATGTTTACCAGGAAGGTATTGTTTATCACTCAACAAAAAACTGTCCAAATTTAAGCTAGTTGCTTACACTGATTAACCTGTGCAAACAGGCACCACAACTTATTACATCATAACCAATGGAGAACCAAAAGCCAACTCTTCTGCACCAAGATTTCTTTGCAGAGCAGGGGCGTTGCTATACCCTGGCCCCCATGGCACATATCCCAGGTCTTCTACTGAGAGCCCTGAACATCCTTTAAATTATAAAGATTATCATTTTTTTCGTATTACACAATTTGGGAATATTAGTTTATCTACTTTTCAATCCATCTTTTTGTCATCATGTGACATTACAGCATTTAGACCAATTAAATTTTGTTCTGCTAAAAATATATTAGTCTTAGATTTGATCCAAATGGAATCTTACCAGTCACTGAACATTTTAATCTGTAAGCCCAGAGATGCCTCTAGTGTGGCCCTAGAAAATCCCGTTGCAGAATACTACTTGGCGGTAGTTCTGCTTTACGATGATGGATGTTTTAGAACAAAACAGACAATTTAGAGGCCTTTTAAAATTTGCTTAGATCTTAATGTAATTAAGCTTATTAAGTATTAACTGCATTAAAAAAAATATATGGTGACTGCTTTAGTTTTCTTTTGTAAAGCGGTTATGTTTTTTTTTCTACAATAATAAACATGTTCTTCTACACCTGCTCTGTGCAATGGTATTGCACAGAGCAGCCCAAACCTTCTCTTCTGAGGTCCTCCACCGATGCTCTAGGCTCCTTAGGCTCATCCTTTTCCCAGTGCACCACCATAGGAAGTCACTTCCTAAGGAGGTGCACCTGCGGGCTCACTCCTGAACTGGGCTGTGTGTGTCCATAAACAAACACAGTGCGACTCAGCCCTGGCCCCCGACTCTCTCCTCCTAGAATTTGACTGACAGCAGTAGGAGTAAATGGCTCCCGCTGCTCTCACTGAGTCTTGTGAGGAGAGAGACTAATGCAGATGGGCACAGCGTTGGTTTGAGAGCTCAAGTAAGTAGAAAAGGGGTGAGGGGGCGATACAACTGGGGCATTATTTAAGCTTAATGCAGGGAATGCATTAAGGTAAAAAATATTGTGGCTTTACAACCACTAACTATATTTTCACTTGATAATCCTGCCAAGAACACAATTCCTGTCCCAACGTGAAACATGCTCCTGTACCCAATTTGACTTTATTTGTGCAGTTCCATAAGGTCCCACCATCAACCCAAGGCGGATGTTTACATATGTTTGTCATTTAGTGCACTTACCTGGTTAAATCTACATGGCTATTGTCATGGATAAGAACGTAGAGAGTATATGGATTTTGTTTCACTTTTTTCATAAATGCATCGAATTTGGTTTTGAAAATCTCCATCTAGTCGAAGCACATACTTTTCTGCTCGCTGAGGAGCAAATGCCAATTCCTCTAGACCCAAATCAATCAACACACCTACAAAAAAAAAAAAATCAAAAGTCTGTGCAAACGCTGAAGAGATATGAAAAAATATAGCACGTGTTAACAGTCAAAGTATATATTGCATTTACACCTAAAAAGGATTATCATGATTCATCAATATTTCTTTCTCTGCCAAATGTGATGTGAATTACTACTGTTCACACTGGGTTTACTAACCCTCTACCCATCCACCAACAGATCCCAGAAATATCTGGTACCATCAAACAAGGGGGAAAAAAAAAAAAAATTAAACTGTCTACCCACAATCCACTGCTTGGTCCCTGAGTGGCCAACTGCCAGATATCATAAAAGGTGTGGAGGGAGTGTGCATAGCTAGTGCGAGTGTCCGCTTGAGACAAAAGATTTTGTAGTATTCAGTTAGTGGATCAAGGTGATGGGGGAAAGTGTCACGTAAACCCTCTTTTGGATCCCTTCACTACAAGTACATTGAAACCGTTAATTTGCCCAGTAGCCATCTTTTTTGTTTTGTTTCTTTATACAAGCAGAAGTTTCTTCCTTAACTGGATTCGTACGTTTGGGCAACTTATTTTCTTCTATAGTTTTATCTCGTAGGAGTCACCCAGGGGTTGTGCACCATGCTGTGTTATTTACACAAGTTCAGTGTCCAAGTTCTCATTTATTCCTAGTAAGCGAGACCCTGACAGTTGAGCCTCCAACCACCCAACCCCTTTGTCTTCTCGATGAGAGAACAGAGTGGTGGGGGTGTAAAGGGGTGGCAAGCAAGACAGATGTGTGGGCCACTAGTAGAATGAACCTGCTGCTTTGGCCTGCATGGATAAATCACACGCTCACTTTTACTATCAGAAGCCTACCTAACACACAATTAATGCCCTCAGCAACAACACACTTACCTTTATCTGATGCTGAAACAGTGCTAAAAGCTACCATTCCCACGCTGAGCTCTAAAAGCACCCAGATCGCAACAATGAAGAATTATGACTTGCAGTTGGGTGTAGCTCAAACATTTCAATAGAGCGGACATAGAAAATGAGGATCAAACTGTTTTTTTCCATTGCATTTGTAACATTTGACTTGTTTGGTAGCACAAAGTAATTTTTGTCTTACCAGACAGTCTAATCCTTTGAACAGTCTGCTGTACCAGTATTTCTGAGCGAGGGACAACAATGAGGAAATCCACCTTGCTGAACCGTCCTAGATCCAGACTTTGACTTCCACTGTCTGCAATTGCGCACACCTGGGAGAGGAGCTTCCGAGCAACCATCAGTTGAGACTGGTATATTTGGAAGTTATTGGTGTTACAACCTAGAATCCAGAAAAAAAACCTGTAACCATTCAATAACATTTACAGAAATAGACTACATTGCAGATGCATATCCTGGTAGTTGGCTTGGTGGTACAGTCTTCAGGTAGATGAGAACAGTTAATGCAAACTTCTGCAAGCTCTCTTAAGTACATATAAAATCACATCAAACCTTTAACTTGTTAATATAAAATTCCAAAAGTAATTTTTAAACAATAAAGCTTAAAAAAAATAAAAAATTATTCTGTCATGAAGATTCTTGTTCAGGCATTTGATGTTTTGGGTGACAAAGCTCTGTCTGTCTCCCAATGTCTCTCCTATGTTGCCACCCTGTCACATTTAACCACTGGTCATAAGTATAAGTGTCCATGCAAACGCTCATGACGCAATCCTGTTCATATGTAGTCACTAACAGGAAATAGTAAAACAGTAAGTAAGAGGAAAAAAATGGCAATTGCTTAGAATACCTCCAGATTTAGCATAATAAATGTCATCCAGTTAGGGTTTCACATCTTCTAGCACACTACATTTTTTCTGTGACTTCTAATTTTATGGTGTTCTGTGTCTCTTAATACCCATCCAGGTATAGGGATGGATTGGGGGTTCTGTTCTTGCATTAGCAGGCATGAACCAAAGGGTTCTGGCCCCATGTCAATAGACACTTGCCCCTTCTGTTCTTTTCAGTCATGACATGGTGAAAGAACTGTGGCAGAGAAAACTTTTTATACTCAGACAGACTGCCTGCAGTGGACTTGATTGTCCATTGCAGAGACGTTAAAAGTGTTGAAAATATATAATTTATCTTTTACTGATAGGGGAAAAATGGGGCACTGCTAATCTAGAACAGCAGGCTTTGGTTACTATGGTTATCTAGCTATTTGACCACATGATTATTATTTCATTTAACCTGGCACAGTTTAATCTTTAATTTGATGGGTCTGCTAGGAAATACACGATGAATCATGACCCACAATAAAATGTTATCAATAAAATGTTATCAGAAGTACACAGCTGATTGCAATATCCACTTTATAATTCCCAGGTTAAAAGGTTGAGGGCACTTTTTGGATTTATTCTATTACAGCGCCATCAATTTACGCAGCGCTATACACATATTGTACTTCAGATCAGTCCCTGCCCTCAAGGAGCTTACAATCTAAGGCGCCTAACTCACATTCATAAAAGCTAGGGCCAATTTAGACAGGAACCTACCAGCATGTCTTTGGAGTGTAGGAGGAAACTGGAGTATCCAGAGGAAACCCAAACAGGCACAGAGAGAACATGGAAACTCCAGGCAGGCAGTGTCATGGTTGGAATTTGAACCAGCAATTAATTGTATAAATAAAATGTAATAAAATCAACAAGCCAGAGGAAACACAACATGCATAAAATGATAAATTACAGAAACCGAATAATCATATTTTATGGCTTTGCACAAGTGGCAAGTTACAAGTTGAGATAAATTTACTATGACCTTGTTTCTTTAGTAATTCTCACTGCTAGCAGCTAGATATGATCACACAACTATACACACACAATGCTCTGGCATTGCCCAATATTTGCTTGTAGGCATCAATAGCTCTGGGTCTGAAATATTTGTTTATCTCATATTTCCAAGCTATTTGGAACATCTTACAGTTCAATGATCATTTCCCGCTCTCCTTTGAAAAGCAAATGATCTTTTCTCAAAACACATGCTGCAATTATATGCCAGTCAAATTGGCATACAAAATTTTGGTGGTTCCAATACGGACAAGCAATTCTCTTGCTGTACAATATTCTCAGTGTGAGAACTGCCATTGTATCACATTAATAGGATTTCATCTTATTTTTTTAAGAGAGGTATGGCCAAAGCTTTTTTGGTCATGCTTTACTTCTGGATCACAGGAGTGCACTTCCTTTTGCTCTTCTGTGACTCAGCTAATAGCAGGCTAAAGCCCACTGTCAGTCGATCTCACACAGCTGCTCCAGACTCTAAAAGATCCCAACCATATTGCTAGGATCCAGCCAGCTGCTTGATTTGACAGCTGGCTTCAGCGCTTCAAGCTGTGCAAGCTTGCTTGCCACCACCGCCAGCCTGGCACTACAGTAAGCGATGGAGGGGCGAGGCAGTAACTGACTGTCACTGCTCTCCGCTCAGCGCTGAGAGGATTGAGTGATCAGCAGTCATGTGATCTCTCAGTTCTCGAGCTTAGAGCCAGCTGTGAACAGCACCGGCATCAGACCAATGCTGCAGCATAGAGAGTATTTTATTTTTTCTATTTTTTTTTTTTTTTTTTTTAAAGCCCCAAACTTCTCCTTTAAGTAAGAATGTTGTAGATATGATGGTGTATACAGGTGAAACTGGAAAAATTAGAATATCGTGCAAACGTTCATTTATTTCAGTAATGCAACTTAAAAGGTGAAACTAATATATGAGATAGACTCATTACATGCAAAGCAAGATAGTTCAAGCTGCGATTTGTCATATTTGTGATGATTATGGCTTACAGCTCATGAGAACCCCAAATCCACAATCTCAGAAAATTAGAATATTACATGCAATCAATAAAACAAGCATTGTACATAGAACAATATCGGACCTCAGAAAAGTATAAGCATGCATATGTACTCAGTACTTGGTTTGAGCCCCTTTCGCAGCAATTACTACCTCAATGAGGCATGGCATGGAAGCGATCAGCCTGTGGTACTGCTGAGGTGTTATGGAAGACCAGGATGCTTCAATAGCGGCCTTCAGCTCTTCTGCATTGTTCGGTCTCATGTCTCTCATCTTTCTCTTGGCAATGCCCCATAGATTCTCTATGAGGTTCAGGTCAGGTGAGTTTGCTGGCCAATCAAGCACAGTAATCCCACGGTCATTGAACCAGGTTTTGGTGCTTTTGGCAGTGTGGGCAGGTGTCAAGTCCTGCTGGAAAATGAAGTCAGCATCCCCATAAAGCTAGTCTGCGGAAGGAAGCATGAAATGCTCCAAAATCTCCTGGCAGACGGCTGCGTTGACCCTGGACTTAATGAAGCACAGTGGAACAACACCAGCAGATGACATGGCTCCCCAAATCAACACAGACTGTGGAAACTTCACACTGGACTTCAAGCATCTTGCAGTGTGTGCCTCTCCATTCTTCCTCCATACTCCTTGGTTTCCGAATGAGATGCAAAAGTTGCTCTCATCAGAAAAGAGGACTATGGACCACTGAGCAACAGACCAGGTCTGTTTTTTCTTTAGCCCAGGTAAGACGCTTCTGACGTTGTCTGTTGTTCAAGAGTGGCTTGACAAGAGGAATACGACATTTGAAGCCCATGTCCAGGATCCGTCTGTGTGTGGTGGCTCTTGATGCACTGACTCCAGCCTCAGTCCACTCCTTGTGAAAGTCCCCACACTTTTGAATGGTCTTTTCCTGACAATCCTCTCCAGGCTGCGGTCAACCCTGCTGCTTGTGCACCTTTTTCTTCCACACTTTTCCCTCCACATAACTTTCTATTAATGTGCTTGGATACAGCACTTTGAGAACATCCAACTTCTTTTGCAATTGCAATCCTTATGGAGGGTGTCAATGATGGTTTTCTGCACAACTGTCAGGTCAGCAGTCTTTCCCATGATTGTGATTCCTACTGAGAGACCATTTAAAGACTCAGGAACCCTTTGCAGGTGTTATAGCTTAATTAGCTGATTAGAGTGGGACACTTTGAGCCTAGAATATTGCACCTTTTCACAATTTTCTAATTTTCTGAGATTGTGGATTTGGGATTTTCATGAGCTGTAAGCCATAATCATCACAATTATGACAAATCACGGCTTGAACTATCTTGCTTTGCATGTAATGAGTCTATCTCATATATTAGTTTCACCTTTTAAGTTGCATTACTGAAATTAATGAACTTTTGCACGATATTCTAATTTTTTCGAGTTTCACCTGTGTGTCACAAAAGTGTTCTAAGTATCAGTTTTCAAAAACTACATCAAATCATGTTGGGGTGTCTTTAATTGTGTATAGACTACAGGTGGCCGGCTTCCACTGTCCCTGCCTTGACAATGCCAAAATTGTCTTACCTTTCAAACTTGTTTTTGGACTTTCACATATGTACTGTAATTATTAAGCAGAGATTGTTTTATTTTTTTACCTTGGCCAACAAATCAAAGCTGGACTGATCATTACATACACGTTCAGTGAACATAGGGTATAGAACTGCTAATATCAGTACACAGAAAAAAAACAAACGCCCATAAGAAAATAAAAAACAAAGCAGCCAGTAAGATCAGCAATGAACAAATGTGGAAATCTGATGGAGACGATTCAGTATTATCTACCTCTGCCTTGTGCAGGAACCATGCAGGTTGCTTCCTGGGAAGAGACGCATTCTTTCACATCACCATGAAAAGGAATGATTACATTATCTCCCCTCTTCTTCTGAATTTTTTCCAGCAACTTGTCCAAATCATCACCTAGGAAATAAACAGGGAACAATGTGTAAATTAGTAAAACACAATAAAACACAAACCAAATATACCAGAGTAAGTCACCTTGGGTACCAGTTTTAGCAGAACCTTGTCCCCATCTAAAAAAACATATATTAGATTTTTCCTTAACCACTTGCCAACCGTGCTATAGCCAAATGACGACTACAGCGCGGTAGTCCAGTTCTGGGAGGGCGTCATATGACGTCCTCCCAGAACGTACCATTTGAACACAGCTGATCACATGATAAAAGGTAAAAGGCCAATCACAGTGATCAGCTGTGTCCAATGACACTGCAGATCACAATGAAAATACAGTTGTTGGTTATTGGCTGCACTTTCCTTACACTGTACTGCTTATAACCAGCAAATAACACAGAGTATATTCTACACTGATCATCAGGGCACTAATGATCAGTGCCCAGCAGTGCTACCCATCTGTGTTGCCCAGCAGTGCCACCCATCAGTGTTGCCTAGCAGGGCCGCCCATCAGTGTCGCCTAGCAGGGCCCATCATTGCAGCCTCATCAACGCACATCAGTGGAGAAAAATTAACTGTTTGCATCATCAGTGCCTCCTCATCAATGCCCACCAGTGCCACCTCATAAATGCAGCCTATCAGTGCCCATCAGTGCTGCCTTTCCATGCATCTTCATCAGTGCTGCCTATCAGTGCAGCCTCATCAATGCACATCAGTGAAGGAGAAAAAACACCTGTTTGCTAAATTTTGTAATTGAAACAAAGAAACTTTTTTTGAAATTTTTTGCTCTTTTTTGTTTACAGTGCAAAAAATAAAATGCCCAATAGCGATTAATTATGACCAAAAGAAAGTTCTATGTGTGTGAAAAAAACGATAAAAATGTCATATGGGTACAATGTTGCATGACAGCGCAATTATCAAAGTTTGGAGGTTTAGACATTGACTCTGCAGACAGCTGGAAACTTCTGCACACTTCAGCATGTGCTGACCCCGCTCTGTCATTGTATGTGGCCTACCACTTTGTGGCTGAGTTGCTGTTGTTCCCAGTTGCTTTCACTTTGTTATACCACTGGCAGTTGACCATGGAATATTTAGTAGCAAGGAAATTTCATAGATGGACTTGGTACCATGCTTGAAATCGGAGTTCTTGAGAGCGACCCATTCTTTCACAAATGTCTGTATAAGCAGTCTGTATGCCTAGGTGCTTGATTTTATACACCTCTGGCCATGGAGGCGATTGGAACACCTGAATCCAATGATTTGGAGGGGTGTCCCAATACTTTTGGCATTATAGTGTAGCTGCTGTTTAACACTTTAACTGCCAGAAATTGTGTCAGAGGGAGAAGTAGAAGGGGAGAAAATCAGACTATGTATGACCGGCGTACTTTAGGTTTTCTTTGACATACGTAGCACTGCCCAATGTCCACAGTTAGTTAATGTAGGCCCAATACATTTCATTTATAAAAACACAGATGTCAGAACATAGTAAATCTTTATTTTCATGGAAATTGAGGTGACATTTATTACTGCTTACCTGTGGATGTGGTCTTAAAATGTGAGGCCAAGAAGCTAACCTTCCCTGTGATAAGCTCATAACTGATCTCTTTCAAGAACTCGTTGGTTGTCAACATGCTCTCTGCTAGAACCCGGGATTGATATTTGCCTTTAAAAAAATTCAGAGAAGGATCAAAACCCTTTGCACCACACTAGAACACAGTATATTTGTCAGCTGCCTTTGTTAACTTTTATTGGTCTTCCAAAATAAACAAAAAGGAACACCTAACTTGTACAATTTTTCTAGAATAAGTCATGGTGCCATGACATTTAAACATAAATGGAGGTCATGTGCTAATCAAACGTCTGCATGTCAATATCTAGTCTTGTTCTGTGAGCAGTTAGTGCTGTTGCATAACTTGTCCCAGTCTGATGACATAACCATGGCAACAGAAATATTTTCTAACTTATAGAAAATCAATACTGTTTAAGAATTCTGAAAGCAGTAACACCATATCAATCTATGACACCGTGATACAGATGTCTATGGGTGACATTCAATCTTATAGGAGTCAAGAAATGGTAGTCTTTTTTTTTTTTTTTATCTAAAGTGTACCACATAATATATGAAGAAAGCAACACTAATAGCCATTCTTTCAATTAATTAACTTATAAAGATTTGTAATAGTGAAGCATTCTGTAATCTGGACCAATATTTTTTTTTTCTTTAAAAGATAACTTGTGTCTATGAAAAGGCACAAAAGATGTGTTGCTAGAAGCAACCAGTGAAATAGCTATACTTTGCACTAGAGTTAACGCTGGAATTAGGTTGCAATGTACATTTTGTTCACCTTTCTTCAGTACAAAAGGTCCAGTGTTATTTTGCAAGCTTTGACAAAGCCATAGGAAGTATTCTTAAAATTGTTCTAACACAACGCTTACTTTCATGCCTTTATTTAAGCAGCACAATAATTTAAGGAATACATGCACATTTAAACTAGATCATATCTTGTAAACATATCCAGACAAGTCAAGCAAGTTTAAAATCATGCCTTTGACTTCCCCCCCCCCCCCCCCCCCCTTTACCTTGTTGTATTTGATATCTGTACTGGAATCATAAAAATGTCTATCAGCTCATTCAGTTATTTCCTGAAAAATGTGTAGACACCAGAGCATACAAAGCAGTGTCAGACATTCCATGGATTTACTGTAAATACTGTATGTGATCCTTTGAAAGTTCATCACTGGCTGGCAGATATGAGCAAATATGCAAATGAGTGCTAGACAAGCACCAGGATTAACCAGGAAAGCACTGCAGCCGCTTTCCTTTCCTTCAGCATTTTAAAACTTTGCATACACTTCTTACTAAAGATGTGCTGCAGTGAAATTATTTAATCTTTGATAAAAGAAAAAAAAAAAAAAAAAGTTAAAAAGCCCCATATATCCTGCCTTAAGCAACAGAATCGGATCATCTTTTAATACGACTTCTGCTTTTATTTTAATAAAAACTCTTTACATTGTTCAGTTATATTTTAAGAGCCAGTTGCTGGTTTAATCAGTTTAATGTTTGCATATTCTGTTACTTACCAAGAGCAATAACACAAAACTCATTTCCTCGTGCCTTTGAGGAACAGATTGCTACTACGTAGTCAGGAAGCTTCTGCTGAGGTTTCATATCACTCAAAGATCGAAGAGTCTCAGAGATTCCCTCTGCTAGAGAGTTCTGGGTAACAAGAACATGAACCAAATCCTGAGAAACACTGGCAGACAGACGGGCCAACCAGGGTAATTGAACCTGTGTCACTAACATGGCAGGAGAAGTCACTGGCAAAGAACGTTCTTTATAAGTAAATTCCTGTAGAGCTTTAAGAACAATTTGCTCAAACACTTCACGAATGGGTATTTGATCTGAACCTAAAAATGGTAAAATAATTCCATTACAAAAAATTAGCATGTAGGGGCAATGATTTAAAAAAGTTACAAGCAAAATTTCTTTGGAGAAATGCATATAAAAAAGTCAAAAGATTTAAAATATCCAAAACAATTTGTACTCACCAAGCCTCACAAGATATTGGATCGTCAGCAGAATGAGGTTTTCTACACTCAGGAACTGGCTGCTGGCCACTCCCATCTGATCCAGTTCCTTCTTTTCCAACTCCTGTAACTTGTAGCAGTTCACCAACATTGGACTTACAACAATATCTCCAACATTCCCATAGAAATATGGCAAGGAACCATAGCCTAGAACAATATTCACAAAACTGAAAACCACTCAAAGCTTTTACATTAACAATGAAAGCTAAAGGAAAGTAAAATTTAATTTTTTTTGGCAAAAAGTGTGGTTGAAGATCCAGTAACATGTATTCAACAGGGCAGGTGACATGGTATAAATCACTGAAAGTCCACACTTTCTGTACATGCATGCCACAAACTGCACAATGGCACCAAAATTCATGAGAAAATCTATTTTTAGGAACTGATTTTCTGATGGCACTGTTCAAGTTAATCGAAGCCCTACTTTCTGAATGCAGCACACTGGTTAGAGATTTAGCTCTGGAGAAGGTCCATAAAAATATTAGCAAATCACTTCTATTGCCATGATGTGGCTATTTTTTGCAAGTACTTTACCAGTTTATGTACAGCAGCATCTTCAAAAACTACAAAATTCTTTACACTATAATCCTCATCCACATTGAAAAGTAAGCCTCATCATTGACCTTACAGATTTCTGTGTTACATGTACCCAAATTCTGATACTTCTTAGAAGGAACTCAACTTTAGCTGGTTGCTCAAATTTTGGCAGACTCTTGTTGAATCCGTCAGAACTTAAGCTTTTGGTGGTCCTGCAAAACACCAGCCAGCCAGCACAACAAAAGCCGATTTTTCAACTGACTTTTGCAGAAGGATCTGGGTGGAAAATCCCCTGGAACCTGGTATTCAGCAGTTGCTGGTCCTGCCTGCTGCTGAATACAATAGCTGGCAGCAGAGATATACACACACTACAATCTAAAAAGTACATAGCTAGTTTTGAAGCACATCTAAAACCAAATTTTGTTTTATGTCAGATTAGGGAATCATAACTTTAACAGGAACAAGTCTTCCCAATGGGATAGTTCCTTGATATGCTTGTTCTGGTGACAACCCAAAAATGATGAATCGCTTATCACTTTTAGTTCTGGTAACAATGGTGATCAAGACCAATAAAGAGCAAATCTAATGGGAACACAAAACCTTATAGAGGTTCAAAAATCTAACCACAATCAAGCATAAAAAAAATATCTGTCTTGAAAAACTGCTAAGTAAGCTAAAAGTTGCTTTAAAATTTAGATAAGGCTATACTTTGCCTTTTAAGTTAAACTAAACTCCCCACTCGAACGTCCAGAGCTACCTCGCCAGACTCTGACATGTCTGACCGCTTTTCTTCCAAGTTCCTGATCTTAATTGATGGATGTCACTCCTGTGCATGCACGGGAGTTCATTCACCTCGGTGGATGGAGAAATTGTACAGTGTGTGCAGCGCAATATACAGTGACGACAGGCAGGCAAGAAACTTAAATGCAGAAAAGGCATTGTATGTCTCTTCTAAATTAAAAATCCTGCCTGTTCACTTTTTTTTTTCTTTCAAGTTCTACTTTTAATATACGTAAATATTTAAGCAACAAGCCAACTTTATATAAATAATGCTACCATCTGAAGAAAAAAAAAAAAGAACTATAAAAAAAAAAGTGTGACCTTACTCAATATAATTTTGCTTTAAATGTAAATATAGCATGAAGTTTTATTAGGTAAAGAGCACTTGTCTCTATTTAGTTCCTGCTTACCTACTAACATAGGTGTAATGGACTTTGCCACTTATGCTTAGCTTAGTCTGAGTACTTGTATGCATGCTTAGTGTTACTAAACCCAGGACCTTGCATCCACTATATCTGGTCTCCCACAGTATACAAAACATGGAAATGCAATTATTTTAGTAAATATAAACTGCTAAATACCTTTTCTCATCAGTAGTTATAGTAGTCTTGTGACTTCTATCAGTGCCCAGCCCAGCACTAGCTAAAGCTTGCAGGAGGAGTTTTCTTTCTAGAAATCCCCTGACCTCTGTCTGGACAGTGTTTTGTGGTCCTGTGTCAATCACATGCACTCACCCAAGGAAAAAAAAAAAAAAGCTCTCTAGCAATACGCAAACTGAGCAGGTGCAGAGAAGACAGGATCAAACAGCCTTTTTTACACAATGCAGAGTATTAACCCCTTAAGCTCCACAGAGTATAACAAGTATGCTTTACTGCATATACAGACTGATTTTACTATTGTGGGTTTAGTAACACTTTAACTGACTAGTGCTAGACAATCAACTTTCCCCTGACTGAGATGGACCATCTGGGAGGGTGATCATAATTTTTTCATGTTAACACATTTTCAGGTTTATTCAACATATTTCTGTAGTCTCAACAACATTGGTTAGTGTAATGGAACATACATCAAAAGCCTTCTTTAATGTCTTACAATAATATTCTACAGGGGAGGAAGGGGTTATTATACGAGTGCCAACATTTTATAAATGGTAATACTCACCTATCAAAATAACAGGCCTCACTCCAGAATTATTCAACAGATTTTCTGGCACGATTACAGTTTCCCCTGCTTGGATCGGCTGTGGCTGGAAAACTCCTCCCAAAACTGGCGGCGGCACAGTGGCTAGAGCATGCAATAAATTCATAAAACGATCAAATTACATACAAAATCTTCAGACTGATATTTTGCCATCAAACCAGATAGAAATTGTTGCTCTGGTTTAAACTTCATCTTTCACAAAGTAGTCCATAGTACATTAAACTTTTAGACAACTGTAATTAAATATTTGCACATTAACTTGTTCACATCAGATGTGCTGAGCTGCACTGATTAGTATGGATCAGGTAAACGAGTCCTAACTAAACATCTTATTACGTAGCTGAGATAAAACCAATCACTTGCTCAGAGAAGCTTTTAAATAATTCCCAAGCTTCATCCATGGAGAGCTCACATCTGTCTTATCTGCCAAAGCTTGGAGGGTTTTTTTCAGCTACTTTTCTGTTTACGGCACCTTGGCCAGACAAAAAAAAAGCAAGGAGGGCAATGCTACTTTCCCATCCCTCTGTGCGCTTTTAGTCTTTTGCTTGTGTTTTGTCAGCAAATTTGTATGCAGTACACCCGATTGGCTTCCTGTCCGAAGCCTGCTATGTTGGGGAAGACCGAAGCAAATAGCAAGTCAGGTGCTTGTGCCATTTGTAAGTAAAAATAAATGTAATTTTAAAACTATGCACAACTGAATTACAATGTGTTTAATACATAGCATCCTGGAGTTTTACTTTTAGGCCTCACACTGGACGTTAGAAGAAAAAAAAAAAAAGCAAGTACTGTTAGCTGTAGAATGCTGCAGTAAAATGTGATTTTTCTTGTGTTATTTTTTTAGCTTTTTTGCATTAGCTTTTCTCAGCTTTTTTTAGTGTTTTTCAGTGTTTGAGTATTTTTGAACCTGGAGTATTTTTTGAACCAAAGATTTTGTGGGAGTATGACTTAGCTAAAACACGAAAACCCTGAAAAACGCTAAAAAAAGCAAAAAAAAACCCAAAAAGCTGAAAAGCGCTGATAAAAGCTGAAAAATGATTTAAAAAAATGCAACTATCGGAGCATTTTTGAGTCTGAAGATTTTATGGGAGTATGACTTTGCTAAAACACGTAAACACTGAATAGCCACGGTTTTTAGCACTTTTCAGCTTTTATCAATATTTTTCAGCTTTTATCAGTGTTAGAGCATTTTTACAGCTACAAAACTCCTCTAGAAACCCACTAGTTCTGGAGGTCTTTTCCAGCCAGAAAACGCCCATGCCAAAAACCGCTGATTAAAGCCTGTGTGTGCATGAACACATAGGATAATATGCTAGGGAGTTTACTGGCTGTAGAAAAATAAAATGCCAAAAACAGCCGCTGTAAAGATGTCCAGTGTGCATGAGGACTTAAAGGAAACTTGTTTTAAAAGAAATTTGCAGGCTGCCACTATAGGTCTTCCTGAAAAGGCTAGTTGACCAACTATTATTATTATAAAGGATTTATATAGCGCCAACAGTTTGCTCAGCGCTTTACAATATAACGGGAGACAATACAGTTCAATACAAGAGGGTTAGGAGGGCCCTGCTCCTTGGAGCTTACAATCTAAGAGACCATCATGCTGCTTCAATACTTTGAGTTAATGCTTAAACAAAAAAAAAAAAAAAAGTAAGCATATCAAGAAGTCTAACTTGACTGGTTACATACTCAAAAATAAATATATATTTCAGCTTACCAGTCCTTATTTTGCGGTGGCTGCATAAGTGTCCTTTTAACCTGACACTCCTGCAAATAACACATTTCCTTTCCCCAGGTTACCTTCTCAAATGTATCTATGGAGCGCAGCATGGTTGTCACCCAGGCTGGACTTCAAACATGTCTGCCTTTGTAACTCCACTACATGGCAGATGATTAAAACACCAGTTTACAAAAGAAAAACATTTGTTTGTGTCTTCTGATCATCTTATAGGAAGTGACAAGAGCACTGCATTACTGACAATATCAACAGGTATTTTCTATAATTGCCAAAACTGCTCTTATGCTAAAAAAGGAACACTAATAAGAACACAAAATGTAATCTATGGCAGCTACTGCAGGAATGGTAAGCTGATATATTACATTATTGTTTATGGTTTTAATTATTCTTTAGGGTTGAACAAATGTAAAAACTGACTGTCCAAAACTATTATGCAGCCCAGGGGCTACACCATGACCATCCCCAACTTTATTTTGGACAGGTAAGAAGAGGCATAATAGCCTGGAACAGTATACCATTTGTCAGCGTACAGTATATGCATAGAAGAATGGGGATAAAAAAATTGGAGGAGAATAAGTGACCGATATCTAAAAACTATCAGTGTTAGAATAACAAATCTGATTAGTTGCTATGGGTAACATGCTTAGTTAGAGATATCAAACATTAGCTGGCCATGTGTGAACAAAACAGCCACTGAATGTCCTAATAAAGAATCTACAAAAGGCCTACAGACACTAAAAACTCACACTGTGCGTCACAATAAAACATAGCATACACACTGTATTATCAAAGCCCAACATTTTAAAAAAAAAAAAAAAAAAAAAAAAAAAAAAACTTCAGTTCTAGCTCTCCATCCATACAAGTGAGCTATAGTTTGCAATGTGCAAATAACAAGCATTCTTAGATAGTACTCTGTACCTGGTCTTGTTATTGGTCGCATAGGAGGTGCAGGGAAGGCCAAAACTGGTGTTTGAATTGGTGAACTTGGAGGCCACCCCCGGTGTCTTTTCTTTGGTGGTCCAGAAAATGTTATTACTGCTGTAAAGCAAAAAAAAAAATCCCCCCCCAAAAGCCACTTTTAGATCACAATGTTAATAAGATCAAATCTTCTAAAGTACAATATCTATTAAGACATACTGTACATCTTCAACAAAGAACATTGAATGTCTACAGCCAGCCAATGTGTGATACCCCAGCTGAGAAGATAGGAAACTAATATATATTTAAAATTAAACCGTAAACCTGTACATTTATTAAAGGAAAAATAGTAAAATGATATTTGCACACCAAATCACTGAAATCCCTGCCAACCCTTACATTTGAGTTCAATTTTAAATTGCTTGGACAAAATTGTTTTTGTCCAGCTTTTTATAAGCTGATCAAAATGCAAGGAACCCAGATTATAAAAGAGTCACATTAACAGTATATGGGTTATGAGGCATTTCAGACCTCAAATCTGAAACTATGTGGGTAGCTGCATACCATTTTCACCAGTAATGCTGCCAGGACTTGAGGACGTTGACTGAGAAGGTGCAGGATTTATCAGAGTGCCCCTGGCTACAATTGCGGTTCCATTGGTCTCTGGTGATTGAAATAAAATAGGTGCTGGAAAAAACAGATCCAAATAGAAATGTTTGAATATACTGTACATTTACACAATGAACATACTGTATGAAAACATAAGAGCTCACCTGGATATGTCTTTCCTAAGGGATGCACTGGTAGTGGCAAAGGCTTCACAATGCTTTTATTTCGGGACAGATCCTGAGGAGTACTTGAATGAAGAGCAGTAGGAGTTTTGGAAAAGGAAAAAGACTGTACCTCTGTGAAGATTGAAAATATGCAAACTGTTGTAAACCCTGTTCCCACCAGTATACACATGTGAGTTGCAATAGTGTGTTAATCACATGCAAAAACAATGCCAATCTCTCATTTGAGGCCACAGGGAAAAAAAAAAAAAAAAAAAAGCATACACTGAGGTATAGAGAATGGGTTGTTTACTTCTCATCTAGTGCCTTAGAAAAATACAGGCGGCACAGTGGCTTAGTGGTTAGCACGACTGCCTTGCAGTAAATGGGTCATGGGTTCGATTCTCGACCATGGCACCTCCTGCATGGAGTTTGCATGTTCTCCCTGTGCTTGCGTGGGTTTCCTCCGGGTGCTCCGATTTCCTCCCACACTCCAAAAGACATGCTGGTAGGTTAATTGGATCCTGTCTAAATTGGCCCTAATATGTGTATGTATGAATGTGAGCTAGAGACCTTAGATTGTACGCCCTTGAGGGTTAGGGACTGATGTGAATGTTCAATATATATATGTGTAAAGCGCTGCGTAAATTGACAGTGCTATATAAGTACCTGAAATAAATGTCTCCTCTGGTCAGCAATCTGATCCAGACATGTCAGATTATATATATATATATATATATATATATATTTTATATATATATGCACATCTGTATGTAGGTGGATTCATGATCATATTTCTACTGTTTATCTGTTTATCTGTTTAACGTGAAATATTAAGCCAGCATTGCCTCCTGAGATGTGTTAGCTGAACAAAGTACTGAAAATGTTTATGTCTACAATAAAATCAGATTACAAATGTCAAATTTCTAGATCAGTTACAAAATTAAAGTACCTATCAGTACACTATGAGCAGAGGAAGAAATCAATCCCCCTGAACCACAGAGCAAACGCTACCCAAGGGCTCCCTTAACAGCCTGCTGCTATTTTTAATACAGCTTGTACTAGCTTCTTCAGTAAGTCTATAAAGCCTTTGGATGGCCATACACGCTTTAATAAATGATCAATTCCTTTTCTGCTCGATCTCTTCCGATAGGAATCCTCTATCTATAGTAGACAACCCATTCAACATAATACTTTTGTAATCTACAATCATAGGTTAACAATAGCATCTCTGTTTCCAACATGTAATCTCATTCTGATTAATGCATGTGTTGAATAGGGTTAAAAGGTGCTGACTTTCATTTGTACTCAGTGTATGGTGCATCTTGCTGCAGTGTCCAAGAGTCAGCCAGCACAGAAATTCCAGTTGCCCTCATACAGTTTTTCAATTGTGGTAATGTCCTGGTGAAACCTTTCACCATGTTAGTCACTGATCCAACCAGCAGAATGTAGTTTGGTGCTCCATAGTTGCCTGGAAAATTCTCATGGACATCCTTGAATGTTTTGCAGGAGATTTTCTCTAGCCCCACTAACAGATCTATGAAAGTCAGGGGTCAGCAACCAGTAGATTGTGATCTACCAATAGATCTTGGCCAGGCGACTGGTAGATCTACATCTGGGCTTGCCGACTCACCATCCCAGAGCATCAAACAAAGTGCAATGCAGAGGAACTACTTGTAAAGTTGGAGCTGTAGCAAGAGCCACATAAGCTGATGTCTCCTCTGTAGTGCTGCTCCTACGCCCCATCATGGCTGGTGGGTGTAGCACGGCCATGCATGACCCATTCAGTGAATGGGGCTGCTCTGCAATTGCCCTGCAACCTTGTGCAGTACAGCAACAAGGGGTTTAACAGGCAGCGGTGTGTTGCTTTCTCACCACCTGCTTTACACCCTTGGACCCTGCAGAAGAATGAAGTTGCAGGGCACTTGCAGAGTGGCCCATTTACTTGAATGGGTCTCTGTTGACAGGCGGTAGCATCCACCAAAAGCAACAGGGGGTGTATTTCCTGCTGCAGTATGTGTACACCTTTGGCTTCTGCCTCAGGTAAGGATTTACATGTGAACAAGCCCTTAGGGTGCCGCTGCCAATTATAACTAAGGGCTCATTCACAGGTGCAGTAGGCACTGCTGCTCCTCTGCAAAGTGATCCCTGTGTGTTTTTGACAGGCGTTCAGGAGGCGGTATGTTGCCTCATCATCATCGGATTTAAACCCATGATTGCCATGCAATTCATGTGATTGTGACACGGTAGGACGGCAATTAGAGGTTTAAATCAGGCCTGAGAAGGAAACACTGTGCCCCTTTGACTTCTCCCACAGTGTTCAGGCAGAACTCCACCTCTTCAAGGTTCCCTACCCCAATCAAATTCATTGGTGACTTAACTGATCTGTGGACCAATCATAATGCCTATATTCTTGGTTTCAGTTATTCTTGGAAACATTTGTCTCAAAAAAACAAACCTTCCCTTTCCTTGTTCATGCTTTCACAAAACTTTCAGCAGTTCGAGTTCTATGTGAAGTGGAGGCAAAATATCTTAGTCACATCAACAAGTGGATCATGTGCCAAATATTTCGGCCCTCTAACCAAATTCTCTCAGAGTAGCTATTTCTTTTTAATGTAATGCAACTCTTGTACAGCTGTTCCACTCACATACGTAAGAACAGTACTTGGTATTGGTAACCAAGCTGTATTCCAAGCAGAAGAGTCAGTGCTTTTAGATCTCCACAAATATTCCAGTTGTATATGGTGTGCTGGATGTGTTTCAACAATAGTTCCATGCTATCCCATGTTTCTTTCAGATGTACAGGTGTAGCCAACAGGTATTGCAAAAACAGATGGCTTGTATAAAATGGTACGTAATAAGTTAAATTACAAGTTACTTTCATGATTAAACAGCCAAAAATTATAGGATCGACCAAAAAGTGATCTAGAAGCAAAATCGTTGTTGCCCAGTGAAATCAAAGTGTGTATGGCCACCACTAGAGAGGTTCAACCAGCAATATCAGTAAAGAAAAGAAATTCCTCTGGCTTTACAAAATAATTATGGCTTGTATTACATGCAGAATTAGTGATCCATAGTGGAATACATTTGTCTTTAACAGGAAAAAAAAAAAAAAAAACCACACAACACACCATTAATATTAGTTTACAAAGATCTCATTAACGTTCAGGATACCTGAAGGAGAGAATCTGGACTTGTATCCATTACTGCTTCCATTCTCTGAGAGGGGAGTGATTGGCTTAACAACTGGAGCAGGAAATGGTCGACTTCGAGGTTCTACATGACAGATATTCTTATATTTTAAAAAGTAATAAAACTACATACATAATTCTGAGGACAACTTATAATATTTAAAATAGACCTAAAACAAAATTATTAGTTTACATAGAGTAGTAAAGGACAGAACCACTTTTGGATTTTTATGGTCTGCTAGAGTCCCAGTTTAAGGGACTTCGCCTTACTTTATATCACTAGGACAGAGAACCTGGTAAAATTATTCTAACAGAATAAAACCATTACCAAGAATCCCCTTTTAAAAGATTTCAGAAAGCATAAAACCTCGGTTTTTATTGCTTACTGAACCCTCACTTCTATTCATTGTGACTCCCTGCTTCCTCAAGAGTGGGGAAAAAAATCACAATGTAGATAAAGGAAGCCGTAAAGCCTGGCAAATATAACCCTTACTCATTATCTAAAACAGACATAAAAAAAATTCTGTCTGAAAAACACTGAACTTACCTTTCCAGCATATAGGTGGTCCTTTACAGAGTACCCCCTGGGAGTTCCTCACTAGATAATATTTTAAGTGCTTTTGCTTCTTTGGTTGAGTTGTAAGTTTCAGGTTTATGTGATTTGAAAACTCTGTAAAATATCTGAAACCCCCGTTCTCCGCAGCCAACGCAGTTTCCAGAGAAACCTTTAAAACACATACACAATAAATATCTCTGAGAAAACATGCATCTACTTTATTTTTTATCTGGTTAAAAATATCATGAACGGCTGAAGGTAAAAAATAGATCCTGGAAAGGCTTCTGGTAATCCAAACCAGAGGCTCAGTATAATTTGGCTACATGTCATGTCCTTCATGCAACAAAAGCATCTGACAAATCATTTAATTGAAAATACTGCAATGACATTAGTATGGTGAAATTAATAAAATCACTAGGCCAAAAAGGGAGACTGACAATGAAACTGCAGTTACATTAACCTTTGCACGATATTGCCAACAAGGTTGCAAAGCAATTTGTCGAACCCACTTGGCTGGGCCCACACATTCACACTGCACTTTTAATAATTCCAATAAAATACAAGTTTGATACCAGACTGGCTCTCCATATAAACAAGTGAGTGTGCAGCTAGGGGCCTGGTCTTAGATTTTGACAATTGGCTATGCAATCTAGCCACTGATATATTGCAGAGCTGGGGAAAAGGAGAGTGTAAGACAGGGGCAGGAGGGGGATCTTGTTACAATCTAAGTGTAAGTCTCCAATTTTAAAATGAAATGCCTTGCCTATGAGGAGGAACCTCAAGTTGCATCTTTGCTTGGCTCTGTGATCCTGGCGACTCTGGGTCATGCCTAACCCCCTGGAACTAAGCACTGCATGTGCTGCCCTCTAAAAACAGCAAAAATACACACAGTTACATATAAATAACAGTTTTACTTACCAAAGGATTTGCAGTTTAGCCATTCTCATTAGATACACTACTTCCTGGTTTATGATTACCATTTTCTGGTTCAACTTTTATCAGGACTAGATTTTTCACCAGGGAGCAGAGGCAAAGAGGCACCGTTTACATAAACAGTGAGTAAAAAAAAAAAAAAAAAAAAAAAAAGTGCTTTGGGGGTCTTACATACCGCCATGTTGTCATATGGATGTACAGAGTAAATTGCAGGTGTAACTGTGTTGCCTGGGAGCCATGGTTGCAGCATATTTTTATCCATAGACATGCATTACAAAAAAACAAAAGAAAAAAAAAAAAAAAAACAAAAAAAAAAAAAACACCTCTGTATGCAGCAATATGTCCTAAACTAAAAAAAAAAAAGTTTTTTGCCTGTAGTTGAACTTTAATGCACAGAGTGGAGAAGAATTATAACACTGGTTAGGTTTTTATGGCTGTCTGTGCAGATTCACTCTCTCACTATGACCCATTTTCCATTAACATCGAAAGTGAAAGTAAAAGAAACCCCAAAAATGTAATGGAGGGGAAAATTTTCCATTTGGAGACACTAGTTTTGGTGATCTGGGGGTCCCTAAGGAATTCCCTTAATTTGCAGCGATTCTCACTTCCTGTTTTGGCTATGGGAGAGGAAGTGAAGGTAAATCTATCCAATGGGACACAGGTTGTATAACTCCTGTCAGTTTTTTGCTATCTCTTACCCTATCCAAAATGGGGGGGGGGGGGGGGGGGGGGGGAGTTTTGCTACTAGTTCTAGTTTATTGAAGGCACTCACATTTATACGGGCATATTTTTCAACATTTTAAATGGTGGAAAGGAAAATGTTTAACCTCTTCCCGCCTGGCCTACGGCCGAATGGCGGCCGGCAAAACCCCTCACCTTTCCGGGGGGCGCCATATGGCGTCCTTTTGGGCATGCACAGTTTGCGCACCTGCAGAGCCGTGATCTGTCTTCGGCCGTGTACCTCGGACACGGCCAATGACAGATCCGAGTACTGGCCCCGTTGCCGGTACCATGTGACCTGCTGTGACCAATCACAGCAGGTCACATGACAGTTGTATACAATGGATGGCTTCATTCGTGCCATCCATTGTATACTAGTGTGTCTAGCTGTGAATGGTCACAGCGATCACATGCACAAGCTGGGCCAATCACAGCCCAGCTGTGTCATGTGATTAGCCGTGGCCAAATCACAGCTAAGTACAAAAAAAAAAAAAAAAAAAAAAACCTTGAATGAATCGATGTCATTCAGGTAAATGCTTGCTTATAGCAAAGTAATTCTTTGCTATAAGCAAATTGTGTAAAAAAAAAAAAAAAAAAAATACTGATCACTTCCCCAAAGTAGTACAATTTTACTATGGTAACACTGTACTACTTTGGTCATAGTGACATGAAAAAAAAAAAAAAAAAAAAAAATTATAATTTTTTTCATACTGTCACCAGTCAGTGTCCCTGATCACCGCCATGCCAGTTATATGATGACACTGTACTGCACTGGTGACAGTATGTAAAAAAAAAAAAAAATAGTGAAAATAATTTTATTCATTTGTTCATTTTCCGAAAAAATGACAAAAAAAAAAAAAACAACTTCAAATAACTCGCCATGCCTCCTATGAAATACGTCAGACTGTCTACTCTGCAAAAAGGGGTCATTTGGAGGATATCTGTACTGTTCTGACACCATAGTTTGTGAACTCTATAACTTTCCTACAAACTAAATAATACATCCAATTTTGGGTTATTTTCACCAAAGACATGTAGCAGAATACATCTTGGCCTAAATTTATGAAGAACAATTATTTATTTGCAAACTTTTATAGCAGAAACAAAGAAAAAGGTGGGGGTTTTTTTTCAAAAATTTCTGTCTTTTTTTGTTAATTTAGCAAAAAATAAAAAACACCCCAGTGGTGATTAAACACCACCAAAAAAAAGCTCTAGTTGTGTGAAGAAAATGCTAAAATTTTAGTTTGGGTACAATGTTGTATGACCACGCAATTGTCAAAGTGTGAGAGCGCTGAAACCTGAAAATTGGCCTGGGCAGGAAGGGGGTAAAAGTACCCGGTATGGAAGAGGTTAAACAAGTATTAATGGGGCACTTGACACCTTTGCTATTCTAAACTGTATCACAGAAATGTGTAATAGAACTGGACTTGCTATTGTGGTCAACACCTCCACTTTTCTTTTCTTAAGGTTTTAAAGCGCAACTTCACTCTCTCAATCAACATTGACCATTTTTAATGCTTCTGCTGCTAACGTTAGTAAATAGATAGGAGTGTACATCATGTTTACTGATTTTAAACTTAAAATGCTACATGAATCATTTGCCCTTAGTCAAGATGGCCATGGCTATAAAAGCTATGGGGGTGTTTTCAAAGTGAAGCATGGAGACATAAAATGGATAGGCAAGTTTACTTTGAATAATAAAATGTATTCGTGTTTGTGGTGCTAGGATGCAGCGCAGTTCTACTTTAAGTGGGATAAACCTGTCACACTATAGCAACTGGACCTCAGCAACGCTTACCTAAAAGTGCATTTTTGCCATCATCATCAGGAAGAAATCTTTTATCCACTGCACAGACAAGTATGTGATCTGGGAGGGATGGAGTCTTCACCCCAACTAATAGAAATCCTGTAGGGACCTCAACCTGTTCTTTGCAGAGTGACGCCAATCGCACATCTTTCCCTGCTTGGCAGAACCCTGAAATTGATCACAGAGTAGCTTTAAGACAACTTTCCCCATTTAGGAGTTTCATTAAAGTGCATAACTGGCAAAAGAAAATAAATCAGTTCATCTTTGCAATACTGTACATGCACATTTTCATTTTAAAAATGTTTTTATATTTTAGGGTACAAAAAAAATCCAGTTTGCTCCTAAATTCCTGCTTAAACTGACAACATGGTGCAATCTGCAGTGCTAAAAAGTGCAAGTGGACTGTCAGCTATGTGCTGGACTACAGGACACATCCAATTTTCCTTATTTTCATAACATACTAAGAAGATGTTCTGTGGTAAAGCAAGAAAAGCTCTGGAAGGGATGACAACACTAAAGTTTTCAGGGCAACAGAAGCAGAGCTGCCAGCTTAAGCAGCTCACTGAATTTCTGACAGGACCAACGGGTATGTGTGTGTAGCATATTTGAAACAGGGACAAAAATAAAATGTACTGGAAGTTTCTCCATCCCCCCAAGTTATGCCCATATATACACTTTAGAACATGAGGGACCCTAGATAATAACATTACATGCAAAAAGGGGTAGATTATAGTTAATCCTATTATAATAAAATCCAAACCCATCGGTTACATACAGTGGCAAAAATAATTTGATGCCATGCTGATTCTGTACGTTTGCCCACTTACAAGGAAATGAAAGGTCTATCATTTTTATCATAGGTGTATTTTAAATGAGAGAGACAGAATATCAACCAAAAATCCAGAGAAAAAGAAAAAAAAAAAAAAAGAAAAACGATACAAATGTTATAAATTGTGTTGCAGTTCAGTGAGTAAAATAAGTATTTGATCCCCCCACCAACCAACAATAATTCTGGCTTCCACAGACTGGCTATTTGCTCATGTGGTGCACAAATTAGTTCTGTAAGTTTATGAAGGTGCTCCTAATGACAACTCGTTCTGTGTAAAAAAAAACACCTGTCCACAGAATCTTTCTTCCATTCAAACCTCACCACCATGGGCAAGACGAAAGAGCGGTCAAAGAACGTCAGGGACATGATTGTAGACCTGCACAAGGCTGGAATGGGCTACAAGACCATCAGCAAGAAGCTTGGTGAGAAGGAGACAACTGTTGGGAGTGATTATTCGCAAATGGAAGAAATACAAAACAACAAATCGCCCTCAGTCTGGAGCTCCATGCAAGATTTTGCCTCATGGGGTAAGGATGATCATAAGAAAAGGGATCAGCCCAGAACTACACGGGAGGAGCTTGTGAATGACATCAAAAAGGCAGTTGGGGCCACAGTCCCCAAACAAACCACTGATAACACAATACGCCACCATGGATTGAAATCCTGAAGCGCCTGTAAGGCCACCTCCTCATGAAGGCACATGTACAGGCCAGTCTGAAGTTTGCCAATGAACATCTAAAGGATTCAGAGAATGATTCAGAGTAAGTGCTGTGGTAAGATGAGACCAAAATCGAACTGTTTGGCATTAACTTGACTCACTGTGTTTGGAGGAAGAAAAATGCTGACTATGACCCTAAGAACACCATCCCTACAGTCAAACACAGAGGAAGAAACATTAAGCTTTGGGACTGTTTCTATGCTAAAAGGTACAGGCGGACTTTGCCACATTGAGGGTCCAATGTAAAATCTTGTATGCAACACTTCTTCACTCAGCCAGAACACCGAAGATGGGTCATGGATGGGTCTTCCAGCACGACAATGACCCAAAACACACCGCCAATAAGGTCATGGAGTGGCTCAGCCAGTCTGCAGACCTTAATCCTATAGAAAATTTATGGAGGGAGCTGAAACTTCGAGTTGCCAAGTGACAGCCAAGAAACCTTAAGGATTTAGAGAAGATCTGTAAAGAAGAGTGGACCAAAATCCCTCCTGTGATGTGTCTTACCTCTGTGCTTGCCAATAAGTGTTTCTCCACCAAGTCATGTTTTGCTTGGGGATCAAATACTTTTTACTCACTGAACTGAAACTCAATTTATAACATTTGTATCCTGTGTTTTTTCTGGATTTTTGGTTGATATTCTGTCTCTATCATTTAAATACACCTATGATAAAAATGATAGACCCTTCATTTCAAGTGGGCAAACTTACAAAATCTGCAGGGATCAAAAAATTATATTTTTATTAGGTATACCTGTTCAATTGCAAACAACAAACTGGTAACACAAATTGCTAAATCTGCCAACAAGATGGCAGCAACTCAATGCATTTAGACATATAGACATGGTGAAAAAGACTTGCTGAAGTTCAAACTGAACCATCAGAATGGGGAAGAGAGGGGATTTAAGTGACTTTGAACATGGCATGGTTGTTGGTTCCAGATGGGCTGGTCTAAGTATTAAAAAAAACTGGAATTTCCACACACTTACACCTACACACCCACACACCTCTATGGAAATGGAGAATCGTCAGACCAGGCAATGGTTTTTTAAAACCTTCTATAGTGCAATTTTGGTGAGCCTGGGCAAATTGTAGCCTCAGTTTCCTGTTCTTAGCAGACAGGAGTGGAACCCAGTGTGGTCTTCTGCTGCTGTAGCCGATCTGCTTCAAGGTTTGACGTGTTGTGCGCTCAGAGATGGTATTCTGCATACTTTGGCAACAGTAACACAAATAACCGCTTGTTACAACCAATCATCTCGAACCAGTCTGCCCATTCTCCCGACATAAACAAGGCATTTTCGTCCACACAACTGCAGCTCAATGAATATTCTCTCTTTTTTGGACCACTCTCTGTAAACCCTAGAGGTGGCTGTGCGTGAAAATCCTAGTAGTGAAGCAGTATTTTAAAAAATAAGACAAGCTCATCTGGCACCAACAACCATGCCACATTCTATGCCACTTAAATCCACTTTCTTCCCCATTCTGTTGCTCGGTTTGAACTTCACATCATCTAGACGTCGTCTTCACCACATCTAGATGCCTAAATACACTGAGTTGCTGCCATGTGATTGGCAATTTGTGTTACCAAGCAATTGAACAGGTGTACTAACAAAGTGGCCAGTGTGTGTAAGCTTTAACATATTAATATAATTAAAGTTGTTAAAAATCTAAATCTTCAGTTTTAAATTAAAAAAGGTAATCTACCATGAAGGTCATTTTTTTTTTTCTTTTTTTAAGATGACAACTGTCTCCAAGGCTCCTGCTTTATCACCTTGTCACAAACACCCCTGGTTGGAACTGCAAGGAGCTAGCTTAACATATTGCGCTGGCATAAATGCACAGTTGCCATTTTCAGGTACATGGGCCCGAGCAATGATGTGAGTGCTTAAAGATGCACTTTAATCAGATAATGTATATTTCCCATACCAGTGCATAAAAATTAACAAACTTGCTTTAAGTAAAAACAACACTTTCACCCACTGTTGCTAGCAACAGCAGAGAAGCCAATATGAAGTTAAACACCTGACATCCTGCTAGTGCAGCGTTTACCCTCTCAACTTATGCTAACATAATAATATACAGAAAAATGAGGAAAGCACTAACTACATTGTGTTATCTGGTTCAGACAAGCTCAGCAGGAAGACTGAATACTCATGGGTCCTAACTTTGACACTCATCCAAATTCCTGATCATTAGAGGCATGGGAACTGGATACAAGTAAGATTTTTCAAGAAAATGTACTGAGCTTGTTTTACAAGACCAGTATAAAGTGTAAATCATGCTTAGGAGGGTTATCCTTTAAACGCACAACAGAGAACAAAGCTTGCAGCCACCATGAGGCTTAAGCAACATGTAGGCAGGTGCCAAATGTAATAATGGTGTACTGTAATTGTGAGATGCTGTTTGGAACTGTTCAGGTTGGCGTGCTTTGGTGTGTCCATTGTTTGGCATGTGGAGCACCCTGTGGTTGGGATATTCAAGCCTGATTAGGTGGGCCCAAAGGTCATTTCTTGTTTGGAGATTAGTCATGAAACTGAGAGGAACCATACACAGAGATGTAGAGTTTGTTAAGTGGATTTCCCCCTTGGAAGGACCCTGACCTGGGACTATAATTAACAAACCATTGATTGGAATTTATAAAAGTTAAAAATGGTATGAGACTGTTCTTTAAATTCGTATGTTAAAATGGAATGCTGTTACTTTCATAATCTTTTTCCATGTGGATATCAAAACCAACAATATGAAGAGAATATATATAACTAAGCCATTTGATTTAGTACAAGGAGTTGCTGGGTTAAGTGAATAGTCTGGTCTAATTTACTGAGATTATTGAACAAGAGTGAAATCCTTCAGTGTATGGGAATGGGAAACAAATTGTATACCTATTTGTTAATTTGATCAGTATTGGAGAGAATGGAGAAGCAGCCAGTTCAGGAGAGGAGTCTGTGGTGGCAGAAAATGGAGGTTCTGTCAGAGGGGGCATTGGTGGTTGTATGCTCTGCCCTTCTAGCAACAGAGACCCCAAGTTAGGGCCTGCGGCATAGCAGAAACTGCCTATGGGCTGGGCCTGAAACACGAGTGTGCAAAGCCTCATGAAGTATACTGCAGTTTGCCTCCATGTCTTTGGGTTGAAGCGAGTTGTGTAAATGTTTAAGAACTTGTGGAAGATGGTCAATGTTTCAGGCCATTTCTTTCAAAACAGTTTTCTAGTCAGTGCTAGGACAGGTGTCACTGATAGGAGAAAAAAAAAAAGTTATGTCAGATGTGCTGCCCAGTGTAGCAAGCTAGCCTCTGTGCAAGGGTAGGTGCCAACTCACACATTAGATGATATTACCATGCAAGCACTTAAAGAATTAATAAACAGTCAAAGTAAGAGGTTCCACCATGCTAGGGTTACCACCCCCCACAAACATGTAACAGAAACAGGCAGAAACTGAAACAATCAGTACAAAGAGATTAAAGTGGAATTCAAACAAACGTGTTTTGACTTTTGGATAAAGAGGGGAAGCAGTAGAACCTCTGTTTTTATAAAACTCAGACCACAGAGAGATAAAAGGCATATATTATACTATGTCATCTGATAGACAGGACCTTACCATCTACAGTACAAGAACCCTCTGGAGGTGGCTTCTGGATGTAAGGCAATGGAGGACTATTTGAACCAGATACATCATCATCGTCGTCATCTTCCATTTCACACACTGTCTGGCTGTTCGAGAAATCAAGGCTGCCATTCTGAGTGTACCGTTGGGCAAAATCTTTATCTAGTTCCTCTAGTTTAGGCTTTACATCAATACCTTATGAAAAATCAATATAGAATATTAATATACTGCCATTTAAAAAACAAAAAGGCATACAAAAATATGCTGAACTATTATTTAATACTAGGACAATATGAATCTTTTTTGGACATAATTTGACACTTTTCCAGGCTTTGATCACAGCCTGCATACTTGGATGCTGTAATACGACAAGCTTTACTTAAGATGCTTCTAAGATCTACAAAATGTCTTTATGAAATAATGTCTAACAATTCTAGCCTGCATTTCATAAGCTCAGTAAAACGTGACTGACTTACTAGACATAAGCAAAAATATTCATACAATTATTTGGTAGATGACCAGGGTTACATGTGCCATTTCTGTCCTCACAGGGCTCATTTGCCCTCACTTCTTGTCCCTGTGACCCTACAGAAAAGAGAATACAAGCAAAGGCCTCCGAGATTGTCTGCGAAAACATTATTTTATTACCAGTTGTAGTTTACTTAACTGTGGCTACTGGGAGAGGAAGTAAGGGAAATGTCACCAATGGGCACATAAAAAAGAAAATCTTGCTAATGCTTTAACCCTTCCTCACTCAATTCTTTATTAACCAAGGAAGGCAACTAATGTTACACTTGACCAATTGCGGCCAATAAATTTATTGACAGTGGCAGTAGCACTTCCGCCCAGCAGTACTAGGGTTGTTGGTTTGAACCCTAACCATGGCACTACCTTTTGCATGTTCTCCCTGTACCTGCGTGGGTTTCCTCCCACACCCAAAGACATGCTGGTAGGTTATTTGGCTTCCATATAAATTGTCCCTAGTATGTGTATGTATGAATGTGAGCTAGGGACCTTAGATCGTAAGCTTCTTTTAGGTTAGGGACGGATGTGAATGTAAATATATAACACTGTGTAAATTGATGGTGCTATAAAAAGTACCTGTAATAAATAATGATGATGATTTCAATACCCAACAGTACTAGTAATGCTTTTCATGCTAGAAAAGAATACTACTGTATAGATGAACCCTTCCACGGTACCTACCTTCTGGAGTGAATGGGGAGTTGTCTGCATTGAGATAAAGCTGGGAGAACACTGGTCGTGGTACTACACTGTTACATCTTAGAGAGGCTTCTATAGAATTGTGAAGAGCTTCCTCAAACTGGGCAGATTTCAGCTGGCCTGCATAAGAGTTCCCCATGACCTGTTAGGAGAAATATTGTGAAAATGAACATCTAAATTCAAAAGTGAACTTCAGCTCCAGGCAAGCATCTAAATACAAAGTTAGACTACACACATGGTTTGAGTTATGAGCAGCCGATTTGGTAATTCCAGGTACCCATAACAGAAAGAAAAGCCAGGTCCTCAACTTCTACTGCAACAGTTGCAGCAACAGTGGGAGCTATTTACTTAAAGTCAAATCAATCAACTTCCAGGTGCTCTTGCCAAAGCTTAATTGAACAAGCAGAAATTAGAAGCCTATTGGCTACCATGCACAGCTGCACCAGATTCTGAGTGCTCCAGTTTTAGTAAATCTACCCCAGCTTCTCAAATCGATAGGCTAGGAGTGTTATTTAGCAAAAAAGCTGCAAGACACTGAATCATGTATCTGCTTAATTGGTTTTCCACTTGTTAGATTTGTTTTAATAGTGGATCTAGTTGTGACCCACCACTTCTAGTGCTGCTACACAGGCAACTGATGGCATTAATATCTGCAGGTCAGTTTTATATACATAAAAATGACTGCACAGTCAAATACACATTGACACGGATAGTAGGCTCATGTGCTTTTTCAAAAGGACACATTTCCTAATTGTTGCTGGCTATAACTGTTTATCACATCCTCTCTATGTTGCTTTCCACATATACAATACAATCACGGGCAGATTTCCTAAATTATTTTGGCTGTATTAACTTTAACAGTCTCTTTACATTCAGAACACAGTGGAGGACAGGGGCTGAGAGTTGTTACCGCATAACACACAGTGCCCAATCAAGGAACATGCATTTATATCACTCATATTTAGTGCACCATCCCTCCCACGACCCCAGACAGTCAGGCATAAACTGGTTAGGCCCATTATATCCAATTAAAATGGGCCCGATGCTGGCCACTTTACACTGCTTTATCTTTAGCAGCATCTTTTAAAGATAGGTTCACATTTAGCAACAAGTTAAATCTGTGTTTAGAATGTAATATGTAACATGCTTCCATGCACCAGCCCACACACCCCAAGACACTCCCATAAAAGCAGGTGGGGATTCCTCTCTTTTGCAGGCAAGGGTACATTTTGTAGCGCCCCTCTAGATAGGCAGCTAGTGTTTTATTTTTAGTTAGAAAGGCTGAGTAGAAGTCTTGGAGAATAGTGAGCAGGGTCAGGGTTGAGAGGCTCTGCAGGTCAGTTTCTTGATACCTCCCCCCTGCTTTAGAATCTTGAGAAGATTCTAGAAGCAGTGGGCAGGGGTGAGGAGCAGCTGGCCTGCAGACTTAGAGGATTCTGGTCAAACCCCGAGCAGGAGGCTTGACAGGGGCCAGGGCAGCCTTTAAGAGTGAATGAGCCGGCTCAGCAAGAGGAACATTTGGGTTGAAGATGTGAGAGCAAGAGGTGAGTTTGGAGCCTGGGAGGGGGCCCAGTGGGAATGGACCTGCCTCCAGGTAGGATCTGGACAGGAGGAAATCTGAACCTCACTGGCTCCCTGAGAGAGGACCATTTGTGGGGCTAAGGAAGGAGCCATCCCAGCAGAAGGCCTAAAGGCAGTTACCAACCTTCAACTTACAGAAGAGGGACAGTGAGCACTTCTACATCCCATGGACTGTAGTAGGGGAGAGGGCATTCAGGTAGGAAACCTAACTAACCCCCAGCTGGACTGTGCTTTAAGGTGGTAGATTCTAGATCCCCTTGTCTAGGGATTCCTTTAGACAGCTGGATAGAAGAGGACTATCTAGGGTTTGGGTGGTACACCAGGAGAGGCTGGAGAGCTCTCCAAGAAGAGTTTAATGCCTTACAAGGTCCTGTGTAAAAAAAAAAAAAAAAAAAAAAAAAAAAAAACACTACACACACGGAAAAAAATGTGCATTTATGTGCATTTATTTTTAACAAGCATTAACATAGCCTTTAATTCTTGTAGTAAAGCTCCAACCCATGATCCGTTTCTCTCGTATTTGGGCATAGCCTTGTGTTTTAAATTGTCCTGCTGCTGGCCAGTTTTACACCGCTGTGTCATCTCTGCAGCCAATTATCTCTCATTAAAATGTCCTGCTGCAGACAACATTATTTGTTTGAGATTATAATTTTTAGCTTGGGGTGAGTAAATCGAATCAGGCAGGAGCTGTTGACACCTTACTGCATCCTTTCAAAAATACTGTGCACACAAAATACACCCCTCATTCCAGATTATTGAAGGGCTCCTGACAAAATTTTTTTAATTAAAATAGTAAATATGTTATATTCATCTGTGCAATACCATTGCACAGAACTGCCCCAAACCTCCTCTCCTGGGGTCCTATGCCCGTGATCTTGGTTTCTCAGCTTCTGTGTCTGCACCCTTAGCAAGCAAAAGTATGTAAACAGCACACCACACACCTACAGAGCTGGTCCAAATCCTGATGAAGGGGTCCTTCGCGGTTCCAAAAACATTGCTTCTGCTGTGATGTGATTGCTGAATAAAGTTTTGGACCTGCTCTGGAGATGCGTGGTGTTCTGGTGACATACTTTTGCTTAGAATATTTTTGGTTTTCAGCTGCTAGTCACAGCAGCACCAATTTACAGCAATTTTACAGGCACTTGTGTGTTGGATATAATGTTTGCTCCCATAGCAAGCCACTTGCTATGGGAGAAGACTTGCAGGCTTGTTCTTGAGCTGCGCTATGTGTGTCCATAGACACACACAGCACAGCTCGACCCCACCCCCACTCTCTATCAATCGCCTTACGTACAACCAGCCTGTTGGTTTGTTCCTGAACAATCAGTGCTGCCGGCTACAGATGGTACCACTGTTCATTGTAATCTGCCAGTGGAGAGCAGAATGCAATTGTTCGTGGGAGTGTTCCTCCATGCTCACTGAATACGTGGAGAGGGTAATCTGTTCATTTCTTTTTTCACACTGGTTGAACATAAAAAAAAAAAAAAAAAAAAAATATCTTATATGGCCTGCCTAAATTATGGAGATGAGGGGAGGGGAACGTATTCTGTAGTTCTAATAATTGCCGTCACTGACAAACCTAGGGTAAGCAAGCACTGCACCCTAGGGCAGAAAATGTGCCAATAACAGAATCACCACCTGTAAATAAAACATAAAAAGGTCTAAAAAAATAAGCTGCAGTATAAAAAAAATGATCTTTGGTTTAGATACACCTAAAATTCTGTCCCCTAATTTTTAAACTTTGATACCATTCTCTGCAGCAAGTCAAAAAAAGTAGCTTGGAAAAAGGTAAAAAAAAAAAAAAAAAAAAAAATCATATTATGCTGCAGAAGTCAGCCCTCTATATCGTGTCCCATCTGTTAGTTGTAGGTGGAGATAGGGAATTGTGTTTCTTAATAGTGGGCAGGTGGTCAGCAAAAAGAAGCCAAGGGGATATGTCACAATAATGAGCAACACAAGGCGAGATAATGAATCTGAGCTAAACAGGACAAACAAAGATTTGGAAAGTAAGGAGGAGGCACGTGTGATGTGGTAAAGAACATCACAGGGGACTTGTCAGAGCACTCTTCAAACCTATTTGTTACACAGCTGTTCGCAAATCCCAGCTTCATTTACATAAAGGGCATGACTTCTTTATTAGCTCAGTCATTGCTGAAGCTGTTGGAGATCTTTAAGAGGAGAATGGAGCTTTTCTTGGCTGTAGATCTTTATACTGTCCATACACTACATTACAGTGCTAAGAGGCAATATATTAGTGTGATGCTCTGAATGAAGGAGCATACATACAGTGTTTCCCCGAAAATAAGGGGGTGCAGAGGTGAGCTGCAGTCAGGTGTTGAAGAGGTGAATTGACAGTTGAGTTTCAGACAGGGGATGCAGAAGCGAGCTGTGGCTGGGGGGTGAAGAGGCAAGCTGTGGCTGGGGGGTGAAGAGGCAAGCTGTGACTGGGGGGTGAAGAGGCAAGCTGTGACTGGGGGGTGAAGAGGCAAGCTGTGGCTGGGGGGTGAAGAGGCAAGCTGTGGCTGGGGGGTGAAGAGGCAAGCTGTGGCTGGGGGGTGAAGAGGCAAGCTGTGGCTGGGGGGTGAAGAGGCAAGCTGTGGCTGGGGGGTGAAGAGGCAAGCTGTGGCTGGGGGGTGAAGAGGCAAGCTGTGGCTGGGGGGTGAAGAGGCAAGCTGTGGCTGGGGGGTGAAGAGGCAAGCTGTGGCTGGGGGGTGAAGAGGCAAGCTGTGGCTGGGGGGTGAAGAGGCAAGCTGATTTAAACTGTTTGGTCCTTAAAAGCATTGTGGAGTCAGTAAAGTGCTACTAAACACACAATGCATGCCCAGTTTGGTGTGTATTGCTAGAGTGTTTTTTTTCTTGGGAGAGTGCATTTGATTAGCGCACAGCCAATCAGTGCTGTCCAAACAGAGTCAGGGGTCCTGCAGCCTCATAGGACAATCAGGAGAGAATGGAAACTCCTCCTACAAGCTTTAAGCAGTGCTCTGCTGGACACTGATAGATGTCACAAGACTGCTATATACTACTGATGAGAAAAGGAATTTAGCAGTTTATATTTACTAAAATATTGCATTTCCATGTTCTGTGTACTGTGGGAGACCAGATATAGTGAATGCAGGATCTTAGGTTTAGTAACACTTTAACCTATATCATGGTCTTCACTCCACATACAGGAAAGGTACAAATAAAAAACAAACAACCTTTGTGCATGAATGGCATAAGTAGCTACAACTTATTAAACTGGTATCAACTGATAAAAATTAAATACAGCACATCAATGGTGAGCAATGGGTGGGGCCAAAGGTGCGATGGCCCCCGGCATCCAGGACAGGACAGACATAGACTGCCGCCAGGCAGCCTCTTAGCCTTCCTGCCACAGCCGCACGCCGGTGGTTTGTCTTTAGTGGCTGGCCGTCGGGCGACCCGCCATCTGACACACTGACAACAAATGAAGAATCTGAACAGAATAAAGAGTAAGGGCAACACAAAAACCTGGTAGAGTTTGTGCGTGGAAACCATAGACACTTGGCACTGTGTTCTAGAAATGAAGCTACAGCCATA